AAAGAGTCCGTTCCAGACAACTTAGTCACATCACATCATCATTGCAGCTCATCAACCGTGACTTGACGTTTGGGTCCCACATTAAAACTGAGATAGATCCAAGAAAAAAAATTGTAAAGCAGGAGCACCCCTCTTTTCAACCAAACGTGCATTACGACCTGGATTTATACACTAGGGCACTGCAGCAGTATTATACAGGCATACATATATCATATATTCATTACAGTTGGTTTTTAAGACAAAATACTTGTTGACTACCAGTCAACTAATCTAAAAAATAATCGTTGACTCATCGACTACGAACATAATGTTTGTGACAGCCCTACTTATTATAATTCATAATAATTTTGAACAATTCATCATGTCTACTAGGACGTTCGGTGTCTTCCAAACATGAGTAATCACTTGTGAATTTAAAAATAGCTAATGTCTTGTAGTTGAAGATTTGTGCCAGCTGAACAGAATAAGTAGGTCAGATTACTTACACTTTATCCTATACGTATTCAGATGTGAGGCGAACAGTACAAGAACAATGACTTTGTGACTTTGATGCACAATAATGTACAGCCATCATTGTTAATCAGGTTTCAGATTATCCAGGCCCCCTATATGCTGGTTTATGATTTCCTCACACTGTGTGAATTCATTAGCGGCTATGATAAAATATTCATAAAAGGAACTACTTTTTCAGTGTCATTCAAATGCATGCATCATGGATTTACAGATTTTTTACATAAAAACTGCCGAAATAAACATGCAAAAAAACATAACACCTCACATTATCATTTATCGTTTTTCCTGTCTGATAGTAATCAGGGATTCACAGAATACTAGTATCAGATCTATGCACCGTGTCTTTCACATCTTCTGGGCGACACCCACAACTGCTTTTGCTGCTCTTCCAGTTTCACCAAAATCACAAAGAATGCAAAGTAATGTGTAAGCATAAGATAGTGAGACATAAGCAATCATAGATAGATAGATTATCATGGATTTAGATTGAACCACAATGATGGAGAGAGAAGTCTGCCAGGATCTGGTCATGAGAACTAAACATTACAGTCATCTGTGCGACTGAGGTGAATCGGTTGGTTATGACCATGGAGAGCCAATCCATCTCTGATATGAATGCTTGGGTCTAACTATCTGGAGCCTGTTGCCTTACTTTGCATTTGGTGAAAGAGAAATAGAAAAGATGAAATGGGGAATAAAAATAAACCAGTATGAGAATAAATAAATGAAACCAAAAAAATGAAATGGGTAATAAATAAAAAAGTTTCTTTTTGTGTTGAGCACAAAACAGGTGTAATAATATGTGAGTGTATTTTGGAGATGTCTAATTGAGAGCGTTCTTGTTTTTATCATTACTGTTTGGCTCGGTTATCTAAAAAAATCTATAAACTTGCCTTGCTTATAAAGACTCTTTTGTACCCGCTCGTGAATATTAAGGATTATTTATTACTGTAATTTGTCTATATTACAAAATATATTTATGTATATAAACGTTGACGTTATAGCATTTGCCTTTTTAAATATTCATCGGAGCAAACAAAGGGTCTCTGAATGATTCATTCAAAGATCAGACTACTTACACACTCAACCTGCCAAAAGAATTCATCTCTACATCTTCCTGTTTTGCGCGAGTGGTCGCTCAGCACCACTTTGCCCCGTGATGAATACCTTTGCACCCACAAACACCAGCTGATGAGACATTAACCTGATTTATCTGCAAAGTGGGGACTTAATTGAGCTCTTGTGGCCTTGAAGGAAGCTTTTGTTGTGGTACATGAAAGGAAAGGGTGAAGAGGGAGGGAGTAGGAGAGGAGGCACAGATACAGGTGAATGCAGATGTAAGAGAAAAGATGACAAACAATGGCTTCGAGTGGCTCCAAGGGATCTGGGTTAAGGAGCAGTTGTGCCCATGTTGTCATCAGAACAGATCAAAGGCTGTGGCTTCAAAGATCCACTTTACTTTTTTCTCATTCCTACAAACAGAAGATATGCTGCTCCACTCCAGACTGTTGTGTCTGACTACTGGGCTCAAAAAACACTTGCTAGCCAATACCAAAACTGAGCAAATGGCGGCCCGTGGCCCACATACGGCCGGATTCACTTTTCTATGCGGCTCGCTGACCTGCAGTTGTAACTCTCACCCCAACTGCTGGCAGTGATGATGACTAGCGATGAAACAATGAGTTTTAATTATTGACTGATATTATTTTATTTCAGACATAATGCTATATGTTATTTTGCACAGTCTGCACATCACATTTTTGGATGAATCAGTGTGACAGCCACAAATTTAAGTAAATCGTTTGAAAAAGATTTATGGTATATATATGTTGGTATACAACATGAGAAGATACGCAGCAAATAGCAGAGTATTTGGTATTTATTTAGGTTTTGCCTATATTGCAACTATTTCTATAGTAGTAAAACTTATACTCATGAATAATCAATACACCAATACCACTGTAATAACACAATTAATAGTGGTAAACAATGGTAGTTTTGTCACAATGTATAATAGTTCTGATATAGATCAAAATCACAAATTGCACTAGGAAGATAAAATGTTCTGTTCTGTATATCTATTGTATTGATTGAAATTGAGTTATAGTTTCAATGCAACTTTTAGTATAAATTAATATTTGATTTTTAACACTTTTGATAACCCTGGTAGGTATAAACGGGAAATTAAAGAAAACTATTGATATGTTGAAGGAAGCCTGTTATTGTGTTTACACAGTGCTCTGACTGTTTTTTATTCAACAAATGTGTCTTCTGGCTTCACCAGTGGCTGTTTGCTCTCCTTGTTTGACCCTGGACTGAGAAGATCCTGGAGCTGATTGGACACAGCTGCTCCCCTGCTTTCACCCATCCCATACTATCCTAATCCTAAACTTCCACTGACAAAATTACACTACATACTGAAGGATATGATTATTATTTCAAGAACAAAAAGGTTTCATTCCCGACTGATATTCCCGCTATAACTGTCCTTGCATACTTCCTTGTCAGCATCTGAGAATATTATCTGGGTATTATGGGTTCGGGACAGAACGATCAAAGTTAATTCTTTGCCTGCTCCATATCAGAAGGCACCCAAAATTCTGTTTCTTTGTTTGAGTGGAACCTCCAATCGGCATACTGTAGATTATTACCATTAAAGCCAACAAGACAAAGTTGAGAATGACCTGTGCCAATAAAGGCATAATACATAATAATGGCCAGGGAAATACTCTTCACTTCACTGCCAATTTTGATTAACTAATATCTAATGAAATCCAGGAAAGCAGGAACTGAATGAAACTTATAACCTCTATATATATTCCCCTCCCCCAGTCTGCAGTTCTTACCCTCCACCCAATCAGCCTATAGGCCATAAATGAGATTTATCACTAGCATCAGTGAGGGGCAGAGGGGAGGCCCGGGAGAGACGAAACAAGAGGAGGCTGTGTCAGACTCAGGAGCAAGGCTGCAGGCACAGGGAACATGGATCACAGAACTTTCAGTTTGAACCAAACTACATCAAACCAAGTATAACATGCCATGCACCGCAAATCAAACAAGTTGCTGTAATTACAAAGAAAAGAAAACCCATGTTTCTATAAGTTCACTGTTGCTTCAGAGCCACTGTGATGAGCAGACTAGTAAATCAGACAAACAGCACCTCCACATAGTAACCAATTTATAAAAGACCTCTGGTGGAGGGACTGTCTAGTCTAAATGAAATATTTGGTTTACTTAGGGTATAATACAAATAGTGTTGTCTTACAAAAAGAACCAGCAGGACACAGAGGTCATTGTTGATATGTCACATCAGGTTAACAGCAGAACTCAGTTAAAAGCCAAGCTTGCCATTCACATTACAAATGTCTCCCCTCAACAAGTCGGAAATTACATAATTGGATAAATAGCTAGTATCCAAGGTAACCTCCAATAAGTCAAAGCTGGTATGAGGCTTGGCTAGCCTTAGCTGCAGGCAGTGCACTCAGTGGAAACTAAAGAGGGAAAATTGCAGGGAGAAAATAGAGGGTCATGTTTTCATTTCCTCCTGGACACTCCTAGCTCTATTAATCGGTTTAAAAGTATGAAACCTAAACAATCAACCTTTATTCAGACAAAGTCCTTGTCAGCACAACAACTACAAAGACATGAACAATATGCAGTTACATATGATATTTTTACGTTCCAGTGCCTTTCAGTGTTTCCACCCAGGTTTCTATCTAAGCTGCATACCTTTTAAGTTTCTTCAGAGTTTACGACTGAGATATTACACAGAGAAGATAATACCAATATTTTTGAGTTTTGGGCAAATAATGCAACTTAATGTATTTCTGTTTAATCGCTTGTCTTTGTCAGGCGGACACCGGTGAGGAAACACTGGTTTCACCGCTGGACACGAAGCACAAAGGACAGAGCAGCAGTCAAGCTATCGGGCTGTTTCTGCATCCGTCCTGTTAGCATGTAAGGCGACACATTCAGCCATTTAGTCGTTGAATATATAAACATTGAACTGTAAATGCCTTTGTTCTACAGCGCTAATACAAAATCTCACAACAAAATCCCACAAACCAGCACGATATGTGGATTGAACGCTTAGTTTTCAATAGCATAGTAGTTTCGGCTAAAGTGTTAGCTTGGTAGCGTTAGCCGTTTTCTGACTTGGATACGTTCGATTTGTAGCCAATGTAACCATAATGAAGACATATATCCCACGAAACTGACATAAATAACTAATACCACTGTTTATACATAAATTACTCTCAGCCTTTTTATAGCTAACGTGGGTAGAATGGGCAATTATAAAATACCTAAGATACGGAGTACCATGGGTTTATTACGGAGTAGTTAACTAGCCACAGCTTTGGTGCCAGATTGTAATTCATTTCCCTAACATTGACTGGCAATAGTACGCTCAGGGGAATGGTATTTCTGATTCATTCTGGTGTAATAAAGGCTTCCCAGATCAGCGCACAAAGGAGCCGGTGAAGCCAATGGATGAAACCGTGCGTTCCTGGAGCTGGCCGTATCTTGTTATTGGGAAACACTGCCGATGTGTCGCTCGATCTCCGCTAAAGCCTCGAAGAGCGCTTACCTCGTCTGTTTTACGTGTATCCAGTCCAATGGCCTTTCACGTGAAGTTGATTTAACAAAAGAAACGCATAGAATCAAGAGAAAATACGGGTTGTATCCAACTTATTCTTCATCTAGTTGTTTTCTTCACTTCCTTATTCACGGTGCCATTTTGAAAGCGAAAAATATTTCCGCCGCTGTCGTCACACACAGAGCCGCTTGTTGAACAGATGCGCACTAGTCATGGCTAGAGTTCACAACCACGATGGCACCCGTGGAATTTGGCATGCGACATCACTGACAGTTAGCAAATAATAATCATCGCGATAATAATGTAGTAAGGTCTTATTTGACAAACCAACATGTGAATCTTGTGTTCATGTTATTCTATTTCACTTGGAGGGCAAGTGGCAAGACATTTTTTAAACATTGTCACCACTTATTAACACCTTTATGAGAAAATTATTAGATCAAGGAAGGTGACAGTTTTTTAAGTGGAATAAAACTAGGAATAAGCAATAACAGAGACATTTGCTCCAATGTCTAGAAGTCCGATTGTTGACACATAATACATTATATGAAGTATGTTTCAACTTCCCTCCACCACAAAAGACGAACCTGAACTCAAATGAACGCAACCTATTAGGAACCTCATATTTACAAATCTAATCTGGTTTGTCAGCAGCCCCATTGACATACATAACATAACACATATAACATTCCATAGCAGTACATTAGACCACCCTTATCATATAACACAGACATACTGTTCATGACATCCTTGTTTTCCTGCAGGTTGCATTTGACATCCATCTATTCTGCCTTACTGAACGTCAGTGCTGGAAGAGGTCCAGTTGTTTCCAGCAAATAGACTGTGCTGTTACTTTCCTGGTATTGCAATCCCCCTTTTCCCAACAAAACTAGTGGGAGTGATGTGCGCATCTGTTGGGCTATAGGATTGTATTCCTTTCTTCACATAATTAATTATGTGATCATCATTTAAATTCAAATACAATGTATACAGGATAAATTTACCGGATCCTCAACAAAATACAACAAAATTGTACCCGACTTTGGTAGGGTAGTTGCTTTGCCTTGAGTGTAGTGCCTCCTACTGTTGTGAGCTCAGTATTTCCTGTATACTAAATACACACACACATATACACACGCACACCTACACGCGTACACAAACACGTATGCACGCACGCACACACACACACACACGTACACACACAAAAGGTGCACACACGTTGCGTACACACGTTCACAGATATGTACACACGCACACATACACGTGTACACAAACACGTATACACGCACACACGCATACACACACACTGACACCCACACACACAGACACAAACATGCGTATATAATTTCCTTCTGTTCAATTAAAATAAACGTCTTAAAGAACGTATGTAGCAGTAGTATTATTTAGTAGGATTGTACTAAAGGATTGGTATAAGAAAAGGCTGCAGAGGAGAATTTAAATTTATACTGCAAGTACTCGTTTTCTTCGCTTCCTTATTCACGGAGCAATGAGCCACAGAGGACATTCATGTTTTTAACTCTAGGCACAGCCACACCATTTTAGATTAGTATTTATTATTGTTTTTTTTTCCTTGACATACTCAGCTATATTGTTTATTACACTATTGTGCTTTTACTCTTGTCTGTTTTTATTGTTTTAGTACCCCCAGTGTTTCCTCTGGAGCCATCTGTGCACTGGCCACCGACCACCGCTCAAGAGCTGTGGGGGTCTGGCTCTTGGACCTGGTGGAGGTTTAGAGTTTCGGATTATGGTTCTAACAAAATATTTACTGTCTATGGTTCTAACACGGTTACACCTGTGTGTTTGTGTGCGTGCGTGTACGTGTGAATGGCTGTGTATTTGTGTGCATGCAAAATGAAATGCATGCAATGCAGTGCGTTGTCTGGCTTTGTTGAGTGCTTGGGCTGATGGGCCAATGAGCACGTGGCATTGTTTTTTAACCAGCTGTGAAGCACTTTGTGTTTCACTTTTTGTATTCGAAGTTCTTTATAAATACAATTTATTGATGTTAGGTTACAGTTGTTTGAGTGCCTGATGAATCATCCATAATCAATCTATTCTGTTTTTGTGTCCTAGGGCAAGGCACTTCTCCCTTCTTGCCTGGCTTTTAATGTGGAAGGAGAATAGTCTTCTTAATAAAATTAATGAATAAGGCTCAACGTTTCAGAGAGATTTGGGCAAAGCACTGAATAAGATAATCCAAGTAGGACATCACCCAAACAATTCGATTTTTGTAATGCATGGATGGAACAAGTCATTTTGGGTGTGTAATGCGTTTAACTCCAGCCACTTTGTTTCTGCCCAGGAACAACACAGATTAATAGAAACTTGTACATCTGCACAAAAGAGTTACGTCTCAGTTGTAATCGGAATGTGGGCCTGTTCTAATAAGATTTATGCAAATCTCTGACAAAACCAAATTGCACAACGTTGCTCCCAAAAGCTCCTTTGTCCCACATCATTATGTTCCCATGAAGGCCATGGTTGCTTCAGGGTGGCTGTGATTAATCCACCGAGAGGGTAGCCACACGGAGAGCTGCACATTCTCCTCATTTACTTGGATTCATTTCTGGTAACGTTCAGGAATATTTACACAAACATGGATGTTTAAAACATAGATGATCTTAGAAACCTTATTGCATTGGTTGTATTTTACTTTGCAGGTTGTGGAAAGATGGAGACTTTTGTATTCTTATTCTCATTCACTGCTTTGGGCGTTCTGTACGCCATGAACGTCACACCTGAATTTCAAGAGTAAGTGAATACGTTTTCCATATAATCTTGTCTCATGTTATAGTAGTCGTTGGGCATGAAACATTTATAATTAAACAAATGTTTAAATTCCGTATGTTCTATTGTGAATGGTTGTCAAATACCAATCCTAATTAAATTTAATTGTTTCAAAATGTGTATGCATTTGGAGTTACCACCACTAGATGTCAGACTTGCTTCATGTGACATTGCTTACTCTTGTCAACGTCGTTTTGACTGATGATAAAGCTAAGATGTATGAAGTTAATTTGGTCAGGAAATATATTCATGATCACTAAATTCTCAAAATATTTTCAAGTATTTCAAATTCAACATTTTTAAACTATATATGTATTGATCAATAGGGAATTTGGGTGTAATAACAAAATAGAAATATTGGATACATTGCAAACTGAGCAAAGTAAGATATTGAATTTCTGTCCCTTCCTATTATCACTTGAACTTATATTGTTCTTTTTGTGAACCTCTCCTGCAGGTTTTGGGTGGTAAAAAGTGTGTACATTGACGATCAATAAGGACCGCACAGTAGAGTTTGATAAATTGCTCTTGACACACAATATGCCTAGCACTCCTCCACTCCCAAAACAAACCGTATTGTGTGCATAAATCTTTCCGCATGGGTGTTGAATTGGAGAAGCAGCCGAGGAGTGCGCCCTTTTGCACTTAAAGGATTTGTTTTCTGTTCACATTGTGAGTTTTAGAGAATGTTATGTTGTTTACCTTCAGGTTTCTTGTGCACATAAATCTTTCCTATTGCAACGCTGCTCTACCTTTGACCAGGAAACACTGGAGCTGGAGCTATCACAACACCTGAGCTCGCTGCCTTCCAAAAGCCAGCCTTGTGATTTATGATTAGGCTAAAATTGCAATGAAACCACTGTGGAGTTTACTATAATTTATTCATTATTTAATACAAGTTGATGAGCAGTATAGGCAAAATGCACACCAATGGTGCTTCAAAAATACATATACATACATACATGTGAATTGAAGTAGCTGCTCACCCTCAGCATAGAGAACTATAAGCATACATGGATAATTAAGTGGTATATAGTATTTTGCTTTGCCCCTTTTGGAAACTAGGATTAAAGATACAAAAATAAGTTGACCTGTTAAGTTGCTTTAGCCATAAGCCAGGCCCAGAGACCAAACAGATCCGCGTCACACACACGAAAATACATAGATATTTGTGGAATTACTGGTTTAGTCTTGTTTAGGTCTGTCTGGCTGCTGCTAGAGTTTGGTGCTGTTGTACACTGGGACTTAAATCCGTTTTGTCCTCGTTTAACCCAAGTGCAGACTCAAATTTGGCAGTGAAAGCATCTATATCTAATTTTTCAAATAGATCATTCACATACCTTTATGCAGTGTTTTTCAACCTTTTTTGAGCCAAGGCACACTTTTTTCACTGAAAAAATCTTGCGGCACACCTCCAGGAGAAAATTTAAAAATGTATACAGTACTAATGTAAAAAAATATATACTGTACATACTCTGTGTGATATATAAAGTATATCTTATCTTATAATGTATACAGTATACTCTGTAGCCTATATTCACAATATACAGTTATTCTCATCAAAATGCTTAAGTCCAGGCCTTGAAATTAAGCTTTATTTAATATTTCTCGATACAATTAACAAGAGTTTGGGAATAAAGTAGGCACTAACTGTGTGGAAAAAAACTAAGAAAATCCACTCTCTGCCCAAATAGTCAAATAATAACTCACACAAAGAACATGCATTGTTAGTGCATGGGAAAAATTTAGGTATCCGAGCTTTAAATTCAGGAGTTTTGATTTATATCAATCGTTTACTTGTGTTGGAAATGCGGTGTGCAATTATCCAGCCAAGAGATCATAGAGATATAATTTCAATGTATGAACAGGCCAAACATCCAAAGACATTTTTTATTAACTGGTTGTTAAAAAAAAAGTTTTACTCAAAAAGCACGTGGTCTTACACTTGTGATATTACTATAAAGATTTATCTGACTTCCTTATTTTACTTTATGTGTGAGACAATATGCAATTTTAACAAGGTCAAGTCTCCACTCCAATATGACTGAAATGACTGCATTATGCCCAGTCATCATTCTCAACACTCTGTCCTTGAAGAAGACAAAATATGAATTCTCCACAGCACTCAGAAACTAATTGAAAGCATTTCTTAAAAGTAGGATATTAAAAAAGACAAAACTGTAGATAAGTTCATATGAGGTTTGATTTTGTCCCCTGTTTCAAGTCCAACATAATTATTACACCAAGGTCAAAATATGTCTCCTCTCAAAGCTTCCCAATGATGACTAAAATGACTAGAAGAGCTCCAAACGAGATAAAAAAAAAACGGAACACAAAACAAATTCTTAAGGGTTAGGCTCAATTTAAAAAAGATTCACATTGACAATGTTATATTAAGCAGCTTTCTGGTGAAGTATGTGTTGTCCGAATTTTCCCGTTACAACAATGTATATTTTTATTGACTTGAGTGACTTTGTTTTCTGTCCCAGGCCTTTTGTGATCTTGGAGATTGGTGTGGCTGTACTGGTTGTAGTGTTGCTGTTTTATTTCCTCATCACTCGCGGTAACCCACCCAAAGACCTCTTATTTTTTGGTATGTGCACATTTCACAGTCTTTATTGTATTCTCACTGCATTTCCAAACACATTGCCTAAGGTTAATAGCTGATATGTATTTCAAAATTGAGCCCAGAGGATTTTGCAAAACTTTAATGTGGGGAAACATGAATTGTGCTCAGTGTGTTCACCTGATATGAGGAAAGCTGCTTAGACTGATCGGGCTCACGGCAAAGCTTAGGCCGACTTTTCTACAGCATGACTGATCCCAACCCTCTATAGACGGAAAAACACAGAGCCACTCACACTTACTTAAATCCAAGCAAGTCTGATGAAACCAAGCCTCAAGTTGACCTCAACTAGAAGGATGTCCAGTGTGAGGTAAAGATGTTTCCCCTCATATTCATGTAGACGTTGAATGAAAAGAATTCAGAACTTCATCACCACTTAGAATATCCAAAAGATGATCATGTAGTTATCGTCTGGAGAAGTGCTACATCTCTGCCATCACGTTACAGCGTTTAACTTTACATTTAAATTTAATTCTAAAAATACATTTACTTCAATAACTATATTTTTATTCAATATTTAACCAATTGAGAACACAGGTCATGATTTTCAGTGACCAGGCCTGTGAACCGACACATCAGTACCCAAACAGCACTTGTAAAACATACTGTAGCTGCACTGTGCACTGAATCTGTATTGTAAGGCTTAAACGCCTATCTGAGTTACATATGTATTTATTCATTCATACATACAGCCTAAAAAAGTAGTCCGGGGCTTGTGGCGCTGATCCCACACACGCACACGCCGGGCTGGTGCATGGCTGTATGCTCCTGGGACAATAAAGTGATGGACAGAATGGAGGTGTTTACTGTCATACCCACAGGGAGGCACCCATTTAATGTAGACACAAACATCTCCAATCATTTAGAGAATCCTCATGACACTGCAGAAACTGGAAGTTTACACGTGTAAAAGCACTCATTTATTATTTTTAGTGAGATTCTCAATATTGTGGCAATGAGAAATTAGAAATTGAGGAAAGTATTAATATTATTTTCAAGTAATGTTATATAGTATATTCAGAGAGTGAGGACATATAAATTATATGCCCTTTTACACAATGTATGTAACATGCATTTATCATGATATAATGTTCAATACAATCAGTACATTTTATTTATTCAAAGGAGTACTAGTTCGATTACCATGACATTGAAATTTCCCTTCTTAAGGATGAATAAAGGTTTATCTTATCTTTTTAAAATATGTTATTTAACTAACTAACTATAGCTCTAAAGACCAAACCTTCATGTGTTTTACTTTCACACATTGCTGCTTCTTCAGACTGATTTACAAAGCCCTGGTTCCCGCTGCAGTAGCAGCTCCGCCTCAGTCCTGATTATCATTCTGTGTTGCGGACATGGCCTTTCAGCTCTGTTGGGCGCTAACCTGCGGACAGAGGCGGACTACTCACAGTGGACTCCATATAAATAATCCTCTAACCTACCTCACTGCCCACTACTTAATGCCCCACTGTGTGGTCTCATACATCACTGTCCCAGCTGCAGTTGGTCAAGAAATATTGTAAAATCAAAGTGTGCTGAAAACTTTAGGTATAAGAGCTGTTCAGCAAAAACTTTGAAGGACACAAAGGTTTTACTAAGAAACGTGTTTCACAAAGTGAGGTCCGAGCCTCAGAGGCACTGCGAGAGGGCGTCCAAATGTTGTAAGTAAGTATAGTAGATAAATAAGTCATCTTAATTTTACCGCACCCATCACAGAGATCGAGACACAAGTTAAAGACTCATTAAAAACACAAAAACACATTCACAATATTTACTAAAATGCCATACGTCTCAGTGTAAACAAACTGCATTTCACAAAAAGCAAGCCTAAACAAGTGTGTTTAAATGTGTTTTAAATGACTAAAAATGGGTGGATTCTTAATCCAAAGCGGGAGTGGTTTGGTGCCATAGGCTTTTTTTTTCCATAAATGTAAAAACATACTCTTCACAATACTCTCAAAAAAAAAAAAAATAAACCTGTAGTAAAGAATGTTTTTTGATCATTTGTTGTCAAATAACAAAAAGACAAATAAAATTCTTCCTATTTTGACATAACATTGAGTTTCTTGGCTACAGTTTTTGCAGAGTTTTGCTTCACTTGTGTCATTGACCTGGTCAGTGCCTTGGAATACGATGGCATCATTTCCGGATTCATGGAGTTCTACCAGAAAACAGTTTGTTTCTTTGTTTTACATTTGCAAACTCAATGTTGCAGGAAACGCATGAAAATTATATCATAACACACATATTTCTGTGAATTTCAGGGTGAGCCATATCTGGGAACGTCCTATGCCATTATGATGTGCTACTGGGATGGTATCGCACACTTCATCATGTACTTGATAATGATCAGCCGGATAACAGACAGGTGAGTGAAACTAGTGGCTTGATGGTCTTAACGTTTAGACTCTACCCAATTGAAAGTGGAACATTGCTGCCATACACTGCAGTGTGCAAAAGCTTTAGTTAGAAACATTGTTAGTTTTTAATGAATGTGGTCAATACATTTCAGTCAATACTGTATCAGCCTTAATATTAGGGTGTAAAATCCATTTTTTGAGCAGGATAACACTTCTGCGAATCCTATGTTTTCCCTTTGTCTTGCACAACATAACCATAGCGCTGCTTTTGTGCTGTTGAGGGAGGTTGTTAAAGATGCACTCAGAGTTCAAAAGTTCACTCAGATAGACGCCTTGGGGCAGATGAATTTATTCATATAACTCCAGTTTTACCATTGGAAAAAGTTGGGTATTGTTGATATCAAACTAGGACTGTTAAAACAAAAACAGCATTACCGTAGTCATACTATCTCAAGATTTGGAATGAACCACTAAATATAAATGTCTAGAAAGTGTTCAAGGTAAGATCAGCTTATGTTTAATTAGTGTTTTGGCTCCAGGTGCTAATTATCTGCTGAGGCTTAGGAAGAAGAATGAAATAGGATTTTTCTTCCCAGAAACTTTAATTGCATCATTTTATTCAAAAGATTTAAGTTTGTGTGGGAACTTTGCTTTATTACAATTTCCTTTGCAATGCATTTGTAATAATTTCATGGAAGTACAGGCAGTAGTAGCGGCTGTTGCAAGCATGGTAAGGGTGGCACAATTCGTATTACGGTAGTACTTTTTCAAGGCGCCTTATGTACTTATGTTTTGAACTAGTTTAAAACCTGCAGATCTCCATGGAACCCGCAAATAGATTTTATTGAGCAAAAACAAACAAACAAAACAAAAGAAACGCTGGTATTTAATGAATGATTGTTGTATATGATTAATTCCTGACAATACTTGGGTCAAAATAACCCACCGCAAATGATTAAAAGTAGAAGAAAATACCCAAGATCAGGGTCTAAGTTATGAGAATCAGCTTGAACTATAATTATTTAGGGTATTTTTTAATCACTGTTGCGTCAATCTGGACAGGGGATAGCACAACAAAAACAAAAAAACCTGCCCCTGCCTTTCTTCTTGCTTTTAACAGCTTCTGTGTCTCTGCCCACAACAGGAAGGCGTATCGTACTGTTGGCTTGTTCTGGGCCGGCTCTCTCTGCGCCAACATGAGCGTGTTTATTTCGGGCATTGTGTCAGGTGAGGATCTAGAAAACCCTGCTTCCACAAAGACAAGCGCTAATCGAATGAACATCTGTACTTCCTTGTCCCAGTGTCGACAAGGTTCAGACTGCCAACAGAACACACAACGTACACGACCCGTCACACGCCGAAGAACAAAGACACAAAACAGACCTAAAGCAGGCATTGTTGACATTCCAGACTGCATACATAAGTGTCACTAGATCAAACTCCTCTGTAGCGTGTGTGCTGTTTCCTCTGTTGTTTTATCACAGACATCGAGGGAAGACTTCAAGGAATCCAGACATCGCTATAGAATATTACTGTGAACTGGATGTAGTTTGTTTCTATTTCTAGGATGCTGTGAAGTCAATAGTGATAAAAAATGCATTGGTTTTGAGCAGCATTCTTTTAAAGAGACAAAATATTCATATTTGTGGTCATTCTTTGATAAAGGATAAAAATATATGCCATCAAATATTTTTAATATTTGATTGCAATTAATCAAATTAATGTCATAGTTAACTCACTATTAATCATAAATGTGTATCTATTCTAAATATGCCTTGATTTGGGCTCTGACCGCGACATAGTTGTGATTACAGTAATCAAGTAAGTAAGTAAGTAATCTTTATTTATATACCGCCTTTTACAGACCAGAGTCACAAAGCGGTTTATTATTTTGTGTCCGGTGTCCTAAACATTGCACACGTCTGTTAAAGTGGAAAGGCTTGCGCAGCGGTGTGCAGAAGGTGCAGCTGGGCTGATACTGCATGCCCAACGCATGCTGACGTGCTGGACACCGAGCAGCGCTGCCAGGCGGTGCCCTTAAAATGGGTTTCCGTTAATGTTGTTAATAGCTTGTTTAGCACACAATAAACAAAATGTATCTGCCAGCTTATAATCAGCCATGTGTCAGTGGTGCTGCTCAATGCCCCGGGTTAAGCGGTGACTTGGGGCCACCTATTGGCCATTGTGCACATGCACACATGCTGACAGATAATTCTTGCCTTCATAGAGAGATTACAATTTACTCAATTCGGATTACTTACTTTTTACTTCTCGTAATAAATCGTTTATTTGAAATCAAATTTTCTGTTTTAATTGTTCCTTTTAGTGCTTATCCCGCTGCTTGAGCCCTGATCCACAGAAAACCAACCCCTCTCTCGCTCTGCCGCACCTCTCTCACACTCAGTCTCTCAGGCCACGTCGTCATGGACGCACAAGCACACAACCTGACAGATGAAATATATAGTAAGGTGTTTGTATTTTCTCATATCAACAGGAAAGTATGGCTCCGAGATTCGTCCAGCATTTTGGCTCAATTTTGTCTTTCTTCTCATGCCCATTTTTGGAGCGATTGCACTATTTAATCGGCCCAAGGAGAGACCACTCACTGGCGGATATAATGTACGTAGTCTGGAACCATAATTATCAAGCACTGACAATATGAAAGCACCACTATTTATGTACAAACTGTATTAATACTGAATGATTATTGTGTCAATACCATTGTGTAACTGGAAATACTCTACAATCATAGGCCCAACAAGCACAGTCTATGAAGCTGATCTGGCGTCCCCAAGACCTTCTTCTCGTGGTGCTTCTGTTGGCAGCCATTGCATTTACCATTGTCAGAGGTTTGGTAAGTAGAAATGCAACTGCACAAAAAAAATCATTCACGTTATATTGCTTGACTTGATATTATTTGAAAGCTGGAGTACCCATCTTTCAAACCCTGAAAAATAAACTACATGTATTAGAATCCATCCAACCCCGCTCCCATCTCTGTGTGGAGTGAGTGGACAATTGCCCAAAAAAAATAACCATTGTAAACCGCTTTGTGACTCTGGTCTGTGAAGGCGGTATATAAATAAATTACTTACTTACTTCCTCGTTTTCAACAAGTTCTAGTTTTCACATACATGAATTTTTGACCTCTTTGACATCTTTAAGACAGCTATTTTAGGCAGAGAATAGAAAAATATAGGACCAGCCTCACACAGCCATGCAGTTTTCAGCCCAAAGTGTCAAATAGTCATTCATAGGGTTCTTTAAAAAAATTACATTGTTGTGTTTGCAAGTACATTTGTAACATGTTTTTAATAAGATAAATTCAGCATGTCATGTTCTGATTTGTTAACAACACTCACAAGTCTCTTTCTGTTGGGACCAACAACATGTTTTATTATTTCAAAAGATAAAAGTTTTGTACCAAACAACGGTATTAGTTTTGTTGAATGGGCAAAAACTATGATTCATTTAACTAAACAACGTAATTACAAAATGGCGTTTGATCTCACACAATATTGACCCATGTTTTTTATTCCACCAAACTCCAATGGTTGAGTGATACATATGGCCTGGTGTTGCATTGAGTAAAGATTTGTGTTACCCTCTTCAGGTGGCCCTCGATGCCCCTCTGGAAATCTGCTCGACCTACCTGCGGCAGTACGAGCCCTACCTCAAGGACCCCGCAGGCTTCCCCAGAGTTATGGTCGGTCCCTTTATTCTCTGTCGGTCTCCATCCTGCTTTCCCCTCTCTCTCTGCGCCTCCTGCCAGAACCTTTGTCTCATAATGGCCCTGTCCTTTCACCAATATTAGTCTGCACCCAATAGAGGCTTGCCCTTATCTCCTCCCTGATTACGAGGCCATTTTTCATCATTACACCAAGAATGAGTCAGGGTTGAGGAGAACTGAAGATCGTGTGTCTCTCTGTGCATCTCTCATTCACGTGTTTCAGACAGATAACATGGCACTATCAGCAACACCGCTCCATTGGCTCTTCTTTTTCCTCCTGACCCTGCAACAGTGTGTTTTTCATGCGTTTTGTTGAGGTACGCCTCTCAATAGTCAATAGGTTATCCCGAGACCTTGTCCGCACTGCAGCCCGGGTAACAATCACACTACATTGATCAGGGAGACGAAAACGCTCACTGTGAACTTGATAAGCTAATCCGTCTCCCACTACCCCCCATCAGCATTTTACGAGGCACCAAAGGAGACTCGGTGAGCAGCATAGGAGAGAAATGCAAGATCATGCAGGACCATTACAATAGGTTTTCTGCATTGAAGTCATGGTGCTCTTGTGCAGTCATTCCCCATTGCACCACTATCATAGTCCATGGGAAATGTTCCTGCTGTCTATACATATTTAAGCTTATTTTTAAATGCCATTAAATGCATCAATTAATACCAGTACAAAGCTGGGCATTTTCTTTATATTCTTGATGATATCACATTTTTACCTCATAGAACTTACTTTTGTATAATTACTTTATGTCTTCAAAATTTGTTCGTTAATATTCAGTTCAATGAATCCATTTTCAAGTAGTTTATTTTGAAATACTAAGGGAGTATATATGTGACGGAAGAGCCTTTGCTGATAATACTACAGAAGGGCGCTCACTAGCCTCCAGACTCAGGACACATCTCATTTGGATTCATGCAGAAGGCATAGACTAATAGGAAGCCGTTCTGTGACATAATATGTGTTTTTTTATAAAGAGAAGCACCAGCTTTTCTTAGACCAAATATTGAACATTGGAGGTCAGAACTGCCTTCGTAATGACCCCAGTGAAGAATGAGTGATTTGTGCTTTGCCTGCAAATTTGAGCTAAGCCTTAAAGTACAAAAATCCTGCTTTACACAGATGCATTTGCATTTCAAAGACTGACTAGTGATGTGCTCTGGTGCCTTCATTTACCTTATTGCCAGCAAAAGAGGTCATGGGTTACATCATTTTGAAATATGAAGCTTTATGATCCAGGATATTTTGTCGTGGCCATAAAATGTGATGTGAGGCTCTGGTCTAAAACCGTCTTGAGATTAGTATAATTTCAGTGCCGTTTTCTGATCACATCTCATTACATTTGGTATTTCAATAAAGATTACACTTCTTTTTAACAGCATACCGATGCAGAGCATTCCATTCCTGGTACAAGTCAATATTGGAGAATTCCTTTTCCATTTCGAACATCCCTAAATGAGAATGTTACATAACGCACTTTCCAATATGTCCAATAAACATTATATTTTTGTGACACTTTAATGTATTTGTAGATGCTGCACCAGTTTTTCTATGGGCTGCCTCTGCTTGGTGCGTTCGTTTATGGACTGCTTAAGCCCGGCTGCACCTGGATGTCAGACTGGACCATTTTCTTTGCTGGAGCCATGACCCAGGTAACTCCATCAAGACACATACTCAATATTCGGATCTGACTATGAATATGCTTCAGCAAATGCATAATGATGTGAGGTGCTCTATGCATGACTATTACTGACCTTTTGGTTGAAAGCTAAAGTCAACCTGAACTTTAACTTCACTTGCCGACAAATATTAGTTTTTTTCTTTAAAAATTGATCTAACACAATAGTTGAGTTTGTACTCAACACACAGCCTTGATAACTTTGCAGGAGAATGAAGGAAATCTTGTCAGATACATCAACAATACAAACTGTAGTAGACCCTATAGTACAAAACAATTTGTCAATACTAACAAATAGTTCTGTTGAATATCATATTATGGATCCTAACCTCTTTTCTGTGTCCTATCCCAGTGCCAGTGGGCTCATATTGGAGGGTCTCTGCACCCGCGCACCACAGCCCCCTTCCATATCCCCAGTGACGCGCTGTGCCTGGTGCTGGCAGCTAATATGCTCTATGCACTCACTCCCATCCTGGTGGCCTTAAGGGTGCGGAGTAACCCCTATTTCTTCCTGAAGATCGCTCCATTTCCTGGACAGACAGGTCTGCCCAACAGTGAGGAGAAAGACACCAAATATAAAGAGAAATGAGAAAAGTTATGTGATATTTCAAAATAAAACAACAACAGTTAGTATTTTTGATTGTCTTTATTGTGCCAAATGTCAAATCTGGGTCTGTATGGGTCTCAAGGACTCATACAGACCTCCTTGCTCTAACTAAATCTGGAGCTTGTAAAATGTTTGTAGCTGTTGGTATGGGTCATTGTGGCCATTTGTCTCATCAGTCTACTGTTCTGTCCCGACTTGACAGCACTGTATGTTAAGTGTCTCTATGTTGCTCTTTGCTAAGCCACCCAAGCAACCGAGCGATGAACAGGATGGCCACAGGGTCAAGTGTGATTTGATATGTTATGAGCACTTTGAAATCTGTTATTGAAGGCCTATAGACAAGAATTGTACATTAATCCTAACTAAAATATATAACAATATTTTCTTGCATTTCCCCCCCTATAAATTCCCTTTATTATACGTAATCTTGTATAACTAACCCTTTTAGGTGGTTCTGTGAGGTAATTCATGATTAGTCACTGCAACAGTCCACTTCGATGAATCCATGCAACCCACTTAGCAGAATATAATCTCCCCCCTCACAGCTGCCTACGTCTGCAGTGCTAGTGCTACTCTTCACAAAAAAATTCTTTTGATGTTTAAATTTTAAAAAGCCTAAAAGTGCTTCATTGTCCTTCCTGTTTGTTCTGATCCTCTAAACACTGAGTGCCTCATTGCGTCTGTAAATCCTTGATCCCTCTGTTCCTATTGCACTTACTGCGGCTGCTGCACCGTGTGGGTGGCCCAGTAAATACTCCGTGCTGTTGTTGTAAAAAAGACATCAAATAGAGAGTTAGCCTTAGGCTTTGTTTTCATTAGCAAATGGGTTTGTGAGAAAGAGGTTAGTGACTGAGGAGGGTTGAATGATCCTCCTCAAGAAAGATCACATATAAAAAAAATGTAAATGAGGAGTTTACCGCAGCAGAATTATGAACAAAGGGGACATAACACTGGTCTTGTTCACTTTAACTGGACCAAGTTAAAGTAAACCAGACCAGATGCTTTTGCGAGAGAAATGCTTCACATGTTTGTTTCAAATGATGTAAACTCACTTAAGTGACAACAGAGATGTTTTCACTTGTTTTAGTGGTTTTATAGTGGTTTTATATCCACACATTTAAAAACAATGAAAGAATCAAAACAATTAAACACAATATAAAAACAAGACTTTTTTCATTTTAAGTGGACTAGAATTGGCCACTTGGTCAAGTAATTGTTGATATTGACAAAAAGGATTCTCAAATTGGGGTCTCGAACTTTTGGAGGATTTCAAGATTTCAAGACATTATTAAGCCTGATTTGACCTGTTTTGTTACTCGCTCGAGATACTTTTCAAAATATAAAGTTTTTCAGAAATGTTTTATTTATGGTTTCTACAAGCTGTGGGACTATTATCAACAAATACAGGATTGATATGTCTCATTTTGCATGTAATGTGTCTGCTGGAGTAATGACAGAAAAGACAAGGATGCAGATACGAGTAGATTCAAGTAGTCAGAATGATTCCTCTGTGGAGTGGCTGGATGCCCTCTTAGAGACAGGGTGAAGGAGCTCAGTCACATGGAAGGAGCTCGGACTGGAGCTGCTGCTTCTCCTCGTCAAGAGGAACCTGTTGAGGTGGCTCGGGCATGTGCTTTGGAGACACCCCCCCCCCGCAGGATGGATGGAGTCTGTCATTAATTAGTTTTATACTGTACTGTAAGTTGAACTATTGAAGAAAATGGACTTTTGAACAATACGTTTTAAGTTTCTTCTATTATTGTCATAAAATCAGTCACTTTCTGTGCGGAATCTAAGCATCCTGTTATGCAAATGCAGCAGGTGAGATGTTGCATCGTCTTTGCTGGGCGGTTATTTATAGATTTGTAGATCTGCACCTCATCCCTTGCTCATCAATAATAACAGCATTCTCACTCAAGTAATTATCCTGGTACTTTGCTGAGGCCACAGATGCAGAAGAGGAAGGACTTCTCTAATTCACTCTATCAGCATGTTTTCTCTCTCCGCTCTGCACATGTTCAGAGCCTTCTGTTTGCTCGATATGGGCTTTAAATCTAATACAGCGACCTCAAGTATACGTGTAATCCAATGATGAGACGCACATAGAACCCTCTGCAAACTCCTGGGGATAAAATAAACTATTAAAATCCCAGGATATGCGTGCATATGAAATAGAAACATGTTTACGGAGGTGCTTCGATAATTAATACGACAGACAATTATAATTAAAGCGTAGATTAATGAGCATCTTATTATGAAATCGTTGGGGAATAGATCAGCAAATGGTCTCAAATGCTAATGTATTGACTTTGCTGTGGAAACAAAATGATCATCCGGATGAAAATAACACATTTGCATACATCAGTAAACATAATCGAATTGGTAATCTAACCACTTAGCGTTGGCTATATGGATTTTTCAGTTTCCCTCTGCACAAAGCCTTGAAGCACGTGTTGGAAAATCTTCCAGAATTTACTTTATGAGATACATGTGATACATGATACATGTCTGCATCTCTCTGTAGATCTGATACAGACGCAGAGCTGAACGGCTTATATATATATCTATATATTTTAAAAAGCAAAAGTTTGAGCGTTTCCTTTTGGTTTGGGAATTCTATATATCTATAGAATGCATTGCTTTCCAATCCAGACCTTTGGACACAAGCACATTTTATAAAAATAATCTTCCAAAGTGCTGCACAGAGACAAAACCAACACATTTAAACATACAAGTCTAAGGTAAAGGTGCACTGATCCCCGTAGGGCAATTCATCCTCTGCATCTGACCCTTCCTGATGCCGCTAAGGCTTACGTCAGGAGCAGTGGTCGCTGTAGTACAGCGCCCGGGAACCCATCTCCAGATGTTGATGCTCGGCTTGCTCATGCACACTTGGTTAACCTAGTGTGCATGTTTTTGGTGGTAGGGAAACCAGAGCACCTGGAGGAAACCTACGCAAGCACGGGGAGAACATGCAAACTCCACTTAGAAAGACCCTGTTCCGACCGCGATTCGAACCCAGGACATTCTTGCTGAAAGGCGAAAGTGCTATCCACTCAGTCAATGTGCCGTGCCACCCAGAAGCCTGCCAGCTCTATGGCTATAATTAAACAAAAGATAAACTATAGATGTAAGATAAATTAATAAATAGATATAAATAGAAATAATAAAAAGAGTTTTTTTTATCTGATTCTTTCTTGATTTTCCTGACTAACCCTAAAATCACAATATTCAGGCACTCAGCACTATCTACAAACATACAACAAGAATAAAACAGTGTTATTGTGTTGGTTGGAGCCTGTGTGTCTTTCTACTTCAGATATCCGGAGAGTAATGTTTTCTGCCAGTTTCTATGGAGACGTCATAATGAAACATCTGTTCGAGAGGAAGTTGTCATTAGCCCTGATCATTCCAGTGAAAACTTGCAAAAATTCAAAGTGAATTTTAATGCCCCTAACATGAATAATCTCGTCTGATGAAATGTTGCTGAAAAGAAAGAAACCATCACCTCAGGAATATTTATTAAGTTATTTAGAATTTGTAATCCTTGGGTTAGGGTTAGTATGTGATCGGTTGCAGGCAGCCAGTAGGGGGCACTTTGAGAAGAGCATCTGTGATAAAATAAACTCTCTCTGCAGTGAGTGTTAATTAAACTGGAGTAGGGTGCTAATGTTTTTGACCTTGATTCTGCATCTCTGACAAAGAACAACTGTACCCCGTAAGCATACGTTTTATGAGACGGATTTCAGATTAACCTGAATCAAAACTGTTAGGAATAGTGAGTCAGGAATATTTTATTTGTATAGCACTTTTCACAGACCAAGATCACACAAAGTTACCGTCATTTTCGGACTATAAGCCGCTTCTTTTTTCTAGTTCTGTGAACCCTTATATAGTGATGCAGCTAATATCTGTATTTGTATTGTGATAGAGTTGTCAGCGCAGACTTTATGGACTTATAGTTGAAGTGGCAGCTGAAGTGTTAGTAGCTATAGGACAATCGTTTATTATCAAAAAAGGTGAGTGAGTACCGGCATGGAAGCTAACGGTTATGCTGTTAAACACTTTCTCATTAAATCATTTAACCAGTTAAAACAGTCATCTATCTATTACATTATAACGTGAAAACCTGTGGCTTATATTCAGGTGAGGCCTATGTGGACAAATGTTTAAATGTTCCTGGTGCGGCTTATACAGGTTCCCCTAATAGTCCAGAAAGTACGTTAAAATTCTTTTGGTGTAATATCTCTCCACACACGGTGATGACAGAAGCGAGACCCTCCGACTTCAAACCACTCATACCTATAGTACATGTTTTTAGTATGTTGGGGATTCCAGAGTAATTGGAAGAAACCTACAGACACAGGGAAAACTTCAAAACTACACATTGAGAGCCCCTGTCTGGCCCAGGAATTGAAACTAGAACCTTCTTGTTGTGAAGCACAAGCAGTATTAGGTATTTGAAAGGCTTTGTACATTAGAAAACTTTACCAATCTAATGCAAAATGGAGCAAGCGATTGGTAACACTGCGAGAACTCATATTCTGCAGTGACAAAAATAATCATTGTTTTTACTATTTCAACTATTCACACAAAAAACAGTAGCATAAAACGGCTCACAGATATCTGAGAATGTGTATTCCAAGACACAGCAGGTCTTACCCCATACCCCACTCACACAGCATGGAGCAGTATCTTTTATTGTAAGTCTTCTTAAAAAGCATTGCTAAAACACAGATTCCCATTGTCTGCCGCTGTCATCTCAATAAACCTCCTTGTGTTTTACCTCCATCTTTACATACTGTAGAGCCTTTCACCCTTATCCCCAGGCTGCAGAGGTCTGAGAGTCACGTCGCATCAATCTCAGCATAAGCAACAGCACTGGGAAGAAGAACCAAAGTTTGCCTCGAGCCGTGTCTTTCACAAGTGTTTATAACAGATACATTTTGATAAGTGGGTGTGTTGTCATGAAAAGAATAGAGCAAAGACAGAGCTATATATAATTTATGTTGCAGACAGAAAAGCAAGTGTAAAAAAATAATAAAAGCCTACCCTTTGGCTGTTTTGGAAAGTGAAGACTTCATGAAGCCGGGAAGAATGTGCTGCTTCATCGTTTTAGGACGCATCTGCTGTTGGTTGGTTGGTTTGAGGGCAGCCGCCTTCTTTCCTGAAGGTTGGATTTGTAATGCCCAGAAAAGTAAGAAAAGGAAAAGAGTGAAGGTCAATAATTTATTTGAAAAACTTTGGAGAAGTTTGAGTAACAGCCAAATGTACCTCCTGGCAATATTTTAGGACAGTAATGGATACAATTGGTAGAAATAAAATGTGACCGACTATTATTGCTGGACATTATTTTCACTTAAATGTATTTTTGTATAGCCCATAAACATTACAGCAGTCGTCTTGGAGGACTTTACAAAGTTGTCAACCACAGATCAAAGAATTAAAGATTTTAAACACAGGAAATTAGGAGCCATTGGTCCTGCCATTGGGAGCAGAATTACCAATGTCTGTAAAAACAAACTTAAATGCAGCCTAGATGAGGCAAATGTATGTATTTTAATGGTTTTAGAGCAGTGGTCCCCAAACTATGGCCCGCGGGCCGGATTTGGCCCGCCTCTACATTTGCTCCGGCCCCCTGAAAAATACCAGAGAGTATTTTATGTGCACTCAAAAAAATTATTTTCGGGTGTAGTAATATATAGTAACTCAAAAGTAGTAGTTTTTACCTAACAATATCAACTTCCAGAGAGAACTAGTTAAAAACATAAATATTTACACAGTCTATTCAGGTAATTAATTAATTGAGTGAGAAGAGTACATCTTATTAGAGATTTGCTCATACCATTTACATGATTTATTGTCATAGCACCAACACCTGAAAAAATCAAGTAGTGTTGATTGAAAACAAAATGTATTGGGCGAAGCAGTGACGCTACCCAGAATACATGGCAGAGAAAAATATAAACTTCTGAAAAATTCTACATTTGAGCATTAATTTTTAGAGTGAATATGAAGCAAGTCCTAAAGCAAAACACGCCAAGTCAAGTCTGTGAAGAACCCAGAGAGCGTTATTTGATTGTGCTGAATGTTTTTTACGTTTAGGCACTCTTGCAATCATCACACTTTTTCTGTTACAAACTGACCCGGCCCCCATCGAAGAAGGGAAAAGTTATGTGGCCCTCACAGGAAAAAGTTTGGGGACCCCTGTGTTAGAGTGTTCCCCGTGGTGCAGGAATGGATTTGGATACAGCTCAATCAGCTGTAGTTAATGTTCATATTTATGTGAACAGCGCAGAGAGCTGACAAAATGAAATGCATTTGACTTGTTTTTATGTGATTAGGGCTGTTTTCTAGCCTGGCTCCAGCTGAACTTGACCTACATGACATTTCAGCAGCCATTGAAATGTCATGTACGCGGGGCTGAAGTTCGGCTGGAGCCAGGCTTGCTGTTGGCTGCTATTTAGAGAAAAAGCACCCATAAAATTATCAAATGTGTATGCACACACACACACACACACACACACACACACATGCACACACGCACACACACACACACACACACACACACACACACACACACACACACACACGCATGTGCAGTCACATCAAGATAGAAACGATCACACAAAGCATTAAAATCATAAATAATCACAGTAAAGTTTAAATCCCTCAGTTGTATGCACAGCAGTTTTTAATCAGTCAGAGAAGAAGCCTGTTTCACATTTTCAGGATGACTGGGAAGGTAAAACCATGAAGAGAATTTCTTTTTGGCTATATTCAGTATATGCAGTGCTAAACCTGCTGCTGCTATAGTGCACAGTTGCTGCGTCATCAGGAGGACTGCAGGATGCCGGTCCCACAAACGCAGAGAGAGGCAGAGCTCAGCGATGGGACACAGACCGACACAGAGGCGAAACTCTTTTATCCTCCTTCACGCCGCAGTCCTATCAGGGTAAGTCCTCTCGGCAGAGCACCATCTGCAGGGTTAGCCTGGCCACAACAGGAATGAAACAAGCTGTTTGGGGCTGTTTCATGTGCATGGGGCATGTAGAGATGTGCACGGGACGTGTAGAGGAGCAGCTTGGGTCTTTCTCTGGGGCCTGTACATGCGTATGATGGACTGCAGCACTGAGGAACAGTCTGCAGTATGGCCAACTCTGACAACGCAGTGCACCCACAGCATCTGCCTGATTGCTCTCTAGATTCTACAACACACAGAAGAAGAGAGTGTGTAGAAGTCTAGGTACTTTCCAGCTGTTTGGGCAAGGTACTTTAAAATTGTATTACATTTATATTATAGTTACTGGGATAAACACGTAATATATTTTCATTTCATTACTTTGATACTTTTGGTCCAGAGCAGTAATTCTATCACACTGATAGAGTGATGACATTTGCTTTATTTAAAACACTATTTCAGGAAATCTCTTTCACACAAGTTTTATAAACCATAACAACTATAATGATCCTTATAGTTTATATAACTATAACTGAGATCATAATTTTTTCTCTCAAAATAACTACAATGAGGAAGAAAATATGCACTATGGAGTATGGAGTATGGCGTAAGTATATGGATGTAACTTGAGGTACTACTGTATTTAACACCATGACCACAGTTTTTTGTGCAAATCGACAATTTTGTGTAAAATAAATGTAATTGAATAGAAATTAGGACAATCAATTTTTTTTTCATTTTTCAAAAAGTGACCTGTAGAGCAATTAATGATCTGCTGCTATGGCAACATACAGTATATGTGGTTAAAGATAGCTACTAACTGTACAATACTGTAAGCAGTTGGATGAAGTATTATTGTGACTATCACTTCGTCACTTTGTTTTTACTTCACTTCTAGACACATTTAGAGAGAAAATAATTGGACCATAGTTGGTATATATATATAATATGTACTGACAAAGAAGATCTGTCCCAAAGAACCAGTGCCATAGTCACAAGTATAGATTTTCAGATGTTTTCTTAAACTACAGGCTCTATGTGTTTCCTCTGTCTGCCTTGTCTTCTTGTATCTACTGTTAATTATTTTGACTTATTATGACTTTATTCTTCTTATTATGACGGTTTTTAATGATTATTATGCTGACTGTGCACTTTTTTTTAAATGAAGATGTATTATTTATTTATTTATGGAATGTTGCGATGTTCAATTAAATAAAGCAATCTATTAATAAGGAAATATCACATTTTATTGACCAGAAATATTCACTTAATAATGGCAAAACTTGAGGTTCACTTCTGTTTTTTTCAGATGCCGTCTAGTGCCTCTGCTTTCATCCAAATGTTGGTGGTGGTTTGGTCCATCCCCTTTGTCCTTAGCGTGAGTGCTCTTCCCACAGATGCAGAGAAAGGGCGGAGGAGAGTGGTCCATGTTCTTGGTAAGACAATATCTTGCTGTTTACTCTGATTTCATAGCAATATAAATCGAAATTGAAATTGCCTCTCAAATCAATCACTATGCTGTCTATTTTCTGAACACTATAAATCCCAAAGACATGCAGAGAGGCTATCAACAAACTTATAGCAATTGAAGAGTTGACGTGGGGGTTTGTTTTACAACTTTTGTCAATGTGTTGTGGAAAACTTTTGATTAGAGGACACTTGAAGCTTTTTGATAAACTACTTAGCACACTGGAGGAGTTTTGGCAGACATAATTACTCCCGATGAGGCTAATTGCAGGTGCATTCATGTGGTCACGACACAGCAGCAGACCCCTCACATTCTCATTACAGCGGAAATGTCCCCAGTCTGAGCAGATCTGAGCCGCGTGGTGCCAGGACACAAATGTTTTCCATGTCCATTTGGATAATGAGCCAGTATCATTGTCGTCAATGGCTCTTGTTTCGGTCCGGGCTTTAAAGCTGTGATGGATTGCCACACATTTTATTACAAACTTCTCTTCACAAATAGGCCATTAGCATAGATTGACAGCTATATTCTTAAATGTTTATTGTATTAATACAAGGTGTGTGTAAGCACAATAAAACAATTGAGTTAAATTACTCGATTACCATCAGGCTAGTGGGCGACAGTAGCTCAGTTGGTAGAGCATTGGCCTTAAGGCCAGAAGGTCGTGGGTTCAATTCCCACCTCTGCACCTTCTCCACCGACTCCCACTGATGACTGCTGTCGTTGTGTCCTTGGGCAAGACACTTAACCCCACTTTGCCCAAAGCCCCCACTGAAAGATCAAGGCTACCCTCACACTCAGAGAGCAGCCGTCCTCCTGTGGACTCACCACCTGCAGAGGATCAGTGAGGGGATGGTGCTATGAGACTTGGGTGGCATCTCTGACTGCCACCCCCCTGACCCAGAAATGGATTAAAGGGTAGAAAATGGATGGATGGATGGATGGACCATCAGGCTTTGATAACAATTTCAGTGCTTCGATTCATTGATTACTTTCTGCATTGACTAAAAACCGTGAAACTGCACAGAACTAATTTTCAGCACTTTTTCCCACAAAAAAAAAAACAATTCAAATGATGCTTTTATTATTATTTCACAAATCAGTATGCATTTAAGAATGTTTTAGGAACATCTAATAAAAATTACAGCCCTAAAGCAGAATAGAATAGATTTAAATTTTTACAAAGAAAGTACATTTCTGACCAAGGGGAACTGTACAGTACCATTTTAAACAATAATGGATTCATAATTGTCCCTCCCCTTGGCCAAACAATGACTAGTGAGAATAGTTCAACCAATGACAAGGGGCCTCAAGGTTTTTAATGTTTTATTATTATTATTTTATTTCAATCAATCAACTTGTATTTGTATAGTGCCTTTCCTACACAAGGCAACACAAAGTGCCTCACAACCCACATCATATCAAGCAAATCATAAACATTAAAATCTACATATACATAAAAATGCACAAGAACACACACAGGATTAAAATATTAAATAGCCACAACGCATTAAAAATAGTAAATGCAATAAAAATGCAGGGGTGAGCCTGGGCGGGTCTAAGCAGTGCTTTTCTTTAAAAATTGTCACTCTCTTCACAATAAAAAAAAGAAAGAAGAGATTTTCACTTTAAGCAGATACTTCAGAATGAATGTGGATGAATCAGGAGCCGTGAAAAACCTCACTAGCAATTTCTGGTTGTAAACAGATTTTGTCAAACACTATTACTTTCTTACTTCTGAAGTTGCAGTCCAATGCCTGGTGTTCCGTGCTGTTAGTATGCGAGATGATGATGGAGACGCTAATATGACAGAACAAGTAAACAACTCATGCTTTATTAGCCGATCCAATTTCACTGCTGTCCCACTGCGCCATCCCTCATAAAGACTACAACGATGGACCCCAGCAATTACACTTACAAGTACTGATAGTGTCAAAGCCAGTGGCAAATAGCAGCAAATTGACTTGTTCTCAACCCAAGTGTGAAATCTGAATTAGGAGTGAAAATTTGTCAATGCTTGTGGATGTTTGTTGTTATACTGTATTTGTGCATCACAGAGGACGACACGGGGGCAGTGATCGTGCAGACCGCTCCGGGTAAAGTGGTGACCCATCGAGGCGGGTCCATAACGCTGCCCTGCCGCTTCCACCACGAGCCCGAAGACATCGACCCCTCCCGCATCCGCATCAAGTGGACCAAGGTGACGGACGCACTGCAGTTCGAGGATGTCTTTGTGGCATTGGGAAGGTACTTTTTCTCCAAACGGTTTATTGTATAAGTGTAAAAAACTATGATACTGATTGGAGATAAGGAATGCACTAAGGAAAAGTGTGGCATTAATAGTGAATAACCCTCTGCACTAAAATAAACAAAATAACACCATACAACTTTCAACAACACAATTTCATACAAATAGTGAGTGAAACATGGAGATGAAGAGAGAGCAGAATTCCAACAGAGTCAGGTCTGTGGAGAGGCAAGTCCACATAAGGTCAAAAAAAATGATGAAAAAGGAGTACAAATTCTGTTGTCATGAGGATGTATATGAAATTGTCTAAACCTGATTTGACAAATTTTTCAAAGTTAAGCCAGTTGGGAGACCGCCACAGCGGATGGAAATGGCTCTAGAGTGCTAACTGACATTGTGTCTAAAGGGCACTTCATCCATTATTGTTTCCATCCAAAATGCCCATAAATCTTGTGATTGTTTGAAAGACGCAGATGTCAGCCTCACTTCATACCCCAGGGCAGCTGTGGCTACATTTTCTTAAAACGTTGTGTATGGCGTGATCATCATCAATGACTTTGAATTTATTTGCCATTTGCAGCAAAACCACATGGGAAAAACTGTGCAAGACTACCCCAGTGTGCACCAGACAGCACACAACAGAGCTCTTTCCACGGCACCATTTTTCCAGCGCCATGCGATAGAATCTGGTTTTGTTTTCCCAAAACAGGATCCATACAATCCTCACTGATCCGATGTATGCTCCACAGACAGCAGCGTGTGTTTGGGAAGTACCGTGACCGCGTGTCCCTGGAAGAGGCAGGACCAGGAGACGCTTCAGTCGTCATCCACAACGTGACCCTGGACGATTACGGACGATACGAGTGTGAGGTCACCAACGACATGGAGGATGATACCGGCTTCGTCAACCTCGATTTAGAAGGTCAGAGTTATGTTTAAAATAGACTGGAAGGCAATAACTGTAGAGCTCTACAAGGATCTCTTGAAAGTCGTTCCCCAAAGGATATTTTCACATGCTTATAACCATTGCATATCCATACTTTAGCTTAGAGCACAAATGCATTATTATGTTTCATAGGAATAAGACAGCATTGTAAAAAATGCCTAAAAAGTTATAAATTACCCTAATTTGGCTAATTTAACCATAGAACGTTTCACTGTCTTGAAACAAGATTTGCTAATGGAACATATTATACAATTGCTAAACCATGCTGGACGTGAGACAGAAGCTGGTTGTTCCATTTGAAAGTTCTTTAATTTAATATTTTAAGGACGTCAAAATGCATTCAAATTCAGACACAAATTCCTTAATTCATTGTAGCACACGCATATGTTGACTTTCTCACAACTGTCTAAAGGAGGAGGTCACTGCCACTTTTGTCCTCCAGGTCAAAAGATTTGAGACCCCTGTTTTACTGTGTTTTAACCTTTCCAAGGATTGCCACAATTTAATGGGGGGAATTCGGGACAAAATGTATGTTTGCGCATTGTTAACACTGCTTTATGGTCATACCTGGTGTCTCTAGTTTGCATGTTCTCCCCGTGTTCCATTGGGTGCTCCGATTTCCCCTACCACTAATAACATTTACAGTACAATACAGTAGGTCTGGCATGTGCCTCCTGTACTGACGACCCTTCTCTGTGTGGAGTGAGAGACCAATGCCCAACAATTGTAAACCGCTTTGTGACTCTGGTCTGTGAAAGGCAGTAAATAAAAAACTAGGGCTGTCAAGCGATTAACATATTTTATCGAGTTAATTACAGCTTAAAAATTAATTAATCGTAATTAATCGCATTTCGAACTATCGACAAAATTATGCCATATTTCTCTGTAAATGGTTGTTTGAATGGAAAGATACATGCCAACATTGTGTATGTACTGTATTTGTTTATTTATTATAACAAATACAGTACATATGTACTGTATTTGTTTATATATTTTAACAAATACAGTACATATGTACTCTATTTGTAGTGACTCAGACCAAAACTATTGTTTGTTACAGATGAGGGACATTTCAAAACAGTCTGAAATGCAGAATGTCATTAAATCTGTTTGATTGGCTCACACCATTACTTTTGGGCATAACCAACATGAACTGGTAGTGGAAGGGAAAATTAGGTACCCCAGCTTTAATTTAGCGAGTGCGCTTCGGGAGAAGACATGGAGGAGACTGAGGTTCCGTTGTCCAGCTTTTGCGCTGTATTTTGTGTGTGCACCGGTCACGCAAAGACACTCACATTACAAGCAGAGAATAGTCCTGTGCGTGTAAGGTCTTGGATATGACGTTACAGCGGCGCCGTTTGCCGTGATCACAGCCGCTGGAGGTTGGAACTGCTGTCCGGAGCGCCCGCAGCTCAGCTCGCAGAGTTTATACAGTTAACAACAGCAAGTGCCCCGCGGTCACGTGTGCATTCTTTTAAAACTTGAATTCCTGCCTACCTGCTCTGTTGCCATCTCACACACGCATGTATCCGCGGAATTCTGATTGTTATTATGGGATGCATGGGTATGCGTCAATCGCGTAAATCTTTTTCGTGTGATAAATTCTTTATTACATTTTCATTCTTGTTTCTGTCCCCGAGTACATGTGATTTGAGTTGTTACATTATAATATCACATCACACATTCGCCCTCACTACACTAGCCCACGCGCACCATACATTCTACCACCCGTCCATCATTGATACAATACAATACAATACACAAAAAGAAACAAACAACAACAGAACAAATACAACCCATGACGGCTACCCTTCCCCCGCAGGTGTCTAAGATACATACCTACAGACCTATGTTGGTTAGGTTACATTACGCATTGTGCATGTGTTTCTGTTCCAATTTCCACTCCTTCCAGCTTATCCACTTATGTCTTTGATTTTCTCTAACTGTCTTGCCATAATTGTTCCCATCTTTGCTCCGTGCATCCTCGCTACTGACAGCTTCATGTTTATAATATCCATGAAAGTCCTGATCCACTGCTGCCTGGACAATGTGTGGGGTGGTTTCCAGCCAACATTTTCTTGGCCGCTGTGACTCCTGCCAAGAGGAGACGTGTCTGTGCTCTGCTTAGGTCCAAGCTTGTAGTGTCATTCAGTAGTAACAGTGTAGGAGAGCAGGGCACTGTAAGACCCAGCACTTCAGTCAGAGATGCACACACTACCCCCCAAAAGTGATTCACAGGTTTTCACTCCCAGTACATGTGCATAAAGGTCCCCATCCGGTTCTCCTTGCACAGCGTACACTGTGGCTTTGCCACCAAGTTCATATGATAGGCCTTCTTCGGTGTCAAATATGTCCGATGAATGTAATTAAAAGGTATTATCTGATGATTGGGGTTCCTGGAGGCAGTCCCCCCAGATCCCCAAATTGTGCTTCAGTCCAGTGCCCCTCTGTCATATTGTTCCAGATCTTTCGACCACACTGAGTAATGGGCAAGTTGAGCATGGTCGCTTCTGATAGCAGTTTATACGTTTGGGCGACCACTTTCTTTTTCCCTGTTCTGCCTGCCACTATTGTTTAGGGGCACGCCTGTGTTCCAGGGAACACCATAGGCCTTCAGGGCCTATATCTTCAACTGCGTATAGGAAGAATGAGGTCCCTGGTATATTGTATTTTTCTCACAGCTCTCCGAATTCCAGCAGTCCCCCACTACCCCATATGTCAGAGAGAGTATGCTTCCCTTTTCCCGCCCATGAAGCATTGGTAAACGGCTTCCTCTCCGTCATCAGTGAATGATTATTAAATAGTGGGCTATGAGCATGCCACCGACACCGAATGCCTGACCTCTTCTCAATACGGTGCCAGAGATTCAGTGTGTGTGCCACTATGGGGCCCAGTTTGTTTTTAGCACGTTTGTTAGGAATTGCCGCATACACCAGATTTTCTCTTCTATAAGGCAATGGAAGATTTTTTTCTATTTCCCTCCATGAATTGTCCCTTTTGACGTTGGTCCATACATTTACTGGTCGCAGTCCTTAAGCCCAAAAATAAAACTCAAAATTAGGAACAGATAGGCCCCCTTCCGTCCGCAGTGTTTGTAGGGTATCAAGATAAACTTAAATATCAAGGAGTGGATTTTTTTCCAATAATCGGCTGGAGGTGACAGAGGAATCATGGATGAAAAGAAATTAATCTGTGGCAAAATGTGCATTTTAATAATTGAAATACGAGATTGCAGAGATTTAGGTAGAAAAGACCATCGTTGTTTGCGATACTCTGTAGGTTAGGGTGAATTTCAATTCCAAGGTATTTAAATGGTTTAACTACTGGTATATTCTGGGGTATTAAGTTTGTCACAATATTTTTATTTAGTGGGAATAAAGCTGATTTGTTCCAGTCAATTTTATAACTGGAAATTGAGCTAAACCTCTCAAAGATATCCAAGATATTGGGTAGCGATATTGCCACTTTGTCTATATACAGCAATACATCATCTGCATACAATGATATAGAGTGGCTAGTATTGCTAAATACAATGGGAGTGATATGTTGATGTCGACGGATAAGGCCAATAATAGTGGGCTAAATGGGCATCCTTGTCTACAAGATCTTGATAAACTAAAAGATTGTGATGTCATATTCCATTCCATTCCATTCCATCTTCTTCCGCTTCATCCGTTGCCGGGTCGCGGGGGCAGCAGTCTAAGCAGAGACGCCCAGACTTCCCTATCCACACACACTTCCTCCAGCTCGTCTGGGGGGACCCCAAGGCGCTCCCAGGCCAGTTGAGAGACATAGTCCCTCCAGCGTGTCCTGGGTCTTCCCCGGGGCCTCCTCCCGGTGGGACGTGCCCGGAACACCTCCCCAGGGAGGCGTCCAGGAGGCATCCGGAACAGATGCCCGAGCCACCTCAACTGGTTCCTCTCGACGTGAAGAAGCAGCGGCTCTACTCCGAGCTCCTCCCGTGTGACTGAGCTCCTCACCCTATCTCTAAGGGAGCGCCCAGCCACTCTGCGGAGGAAGCTCATTTCGACCGCTTGTATCCGCGATCTCGTTCTTTCGGTCATTACCCAAAGCTCATGACCATAGATGAGGGAGGGAACAAAGATTGACCGGTAAATCGAGAGCTTTGCCTTTCGGCTCAGCTCCCTCTTTACCACAACGGTCCGATACAGAGACCGCATCACTGCGCACGCTGCACCGATCCGCCTGTCAATCTCACGCTCCATCCTTCCCTCACTCGTGAACAAGACCCCGAGATACTTGAACTCCTCCACTTGAGGAAGGACCTTCCCACCCACCTGAAGAGGGTAAGGCACCTTTTTCCTGTCGAGCACCATGGCCTCAGATTTGGAGGTGCTGATTCTCATCCCAGCCGCTTCACACTCGGCTGCAAACCGCTCTAGTGCATGTTGCAGGTCCTGGTTCGTTGGAGCCAACAGGACGACATCATCCGCAAACAGCAGAGATGAAATCCTGTGGTCCCCGAACCGGACCCCCTCCGACCCCTGGCTGCGCATAGAAATTCTGTCCATGAATACAGTGAACAGAACCGGTGACAAAGGGCAGCCCTGTCGGAGGCCAACATTCACCGGGAACAGGTCTGACTTACTGCCGGCAATGCGAACACAGCTCTGGCTCCGGTCATACAGGGACCGGACGGCCCTCAGCAGAGGACCCCGGATCCCGTACTCCCGGAGAACCCCCCAAAATACACCCCGGGGAACACGGTCGAACGCCTTCTCCAAATCCACAAAGCACATGTGGACAGGTTGGGCGAACTCCCATGAACCCTCGAGTATCCGATGGAGAGTATAGACCTGGTCCAGTGTTCCGCGACCGGGACGAAAACCACACTGCTCCTCCTGAATCCGAGATTCGACCATCGGCCGTCACCTCCTCTCCAGTACCTTGGAGTAAACCTTACCAGGGAGGCTGAGGAGTGTGATCCCACGATAATTGGAACACACCCTCCGGTCCCCCTTCTTGTAGAGAGGGACCACCACCCCGGTCTGCCACTCCATTGGCACCGCCCCCGATCGCCACGCGATGCTGCAGAGACGTGTCAGCCAAGACAGTCCTACAACATCCAGAGACTTTAGATAGTCAGGACGGATCTCATCCACTCCCGGCGCCTTGCCACCATGGAGGCTGCCAACCACCTTGGTGACCTCTGCCAGGGAGATGGAAGTATCCGCCCCAACATCCTCAGGCTCTGCCTCCAGGGCGGAGGACGTGACGGGGGGATTGAGGAGAACCTCGAAGTATTCCTTCCACCGCCCGACAATATCCCCAGTTGAGGTCAGCAGCCCTCCACCCGCACCGTACACAGTGTTGGCAAAGAACTGCTTCCCCCCTCCTTAGGCGCCGGACGGTTTGCCAGAATCTCTTCAAGGCCGACCGATAGTCATGCTCCATGGACTCTCCGAACTCCTCCCAGTCCCGGGTTTTTGCCTCTGCAACAGCCCGGGCCGCGGCGCGCTTGGCCTGCCGATACTGGACAGCTGCCTCAGGAGTCCCATGAACCAACATTGCTCGATAGGACTCCTTCTTCAGCCTGACGGCATCCCTTACTGCCGGTGTCCACCACCGGGTTCGGGGATTGCCGCTGCGACCACAGCTATGAGCCGCCGCATCGGCGATAGAGGAAGAGAACATGGTCCACTCGGACTCAATGTCCCCCTCCTCCGCTGGGACCCGGGAGAAGCTCTCCCGGAGTTGTGAGTTGAAAGTCCGTCTGACAGGGGGCTCAACGAGACGTTCCCAGCAAACCCTCACTACACGCTTGGGCCTGCCAGGTCTGACCGGCTTCCTCCCCTGCCAGCGGATCCAACTCACGACCAGGTGATGATCGGTTGACAGCTCCGCCCCTCTCTTCACCCGAGTGTCCGAGACACGCGGTCAAAGATCAGACGATACGACAACAAAGTCGATCATCGACCTCCGGCCTAGGTTGTCCTGGTGCCACGTGCACTGGTGGACACCCTTGTGCTCGAACATGGTGTTCGTGATGGACAAGCCGTGACTGGCACAGAAGTCCAACAACTGAACACCGCTCGAATTCAACACCAGAAAAGTGGAGCGTCCAACCCCTCCCAAGCTGTGTGTGGAGGTGAGGCCAACTATCTCTAGTCGGTATCGCTCGACCTCCCCGACGAGGTCGGGCTCCTTCCCCCCCAGTGAGGTGACGTTCCACGTCCCGAGAGCCAGATGTTGGGTGTGTGGACTGGGTCGCCGAGGTCTCCGCCTTCGACTGCTGCCCAGTCTTCTCTGCACCGCGCCACCACAGACCCCTCTGCAGGTGGTGGGCCCACAGGAGGGACTGCCCACGTCGTCCCTTCGGGCGGAGCCCGGCCGGGCCCGTGGGCTAAGGCCCGGCCCCCAGGCGCTCGCATTCGAGCCCCGACCCCAGGCCTGGCTCCAGGGTGGGGCCCCGGCTGCGCCATGCCGGGCGACGTCACGGTTCTTCTGTTCGTGCTGTCCATGTTGGCTTCTGACTGCTCTTCGTCTGACTCGTCACCCGAGACCTGTCTGCCATGGGAGACCCTACCAGGGGCATGAAGCCCCAGACAGCATAGCGCCCAAATTTGGGCTTTTCCAGGCATATTTCAGACCTGTAAAGTTCCTCATAATATTTTTTTAATTCACGTGGTGAAGAGAGCATCCCTTGGTCTGACTCTATCGCCACTATGTTGGAGTATTTGTTGCATTCAAATTACTTGGGCGTGCTCCATTGAAGATAGTTCCTACAGATGGCACGGTGGCTGAGTGGATAGCACTCTCGCCTCTCAGCAAGAAGGTCCTGGGTTCGAATCCCGGTTGGACCAGGGCCTTTCTGAGTGGAGTTTACATGTTCTTCCCGTGTCTGCGTAGGTTTCCACCGGGTACTCCGGTTTCCCCTACCACTAAAAACATGCACAATAGATCTGGCATGTGCCTCCTGTACTGGTACCCCTGCTCCTATCTCTGTGTGGAGTGAGAGACAAATGCCCAAAAATAACAATTGTAAACCGCTTTGTGACTCTGATCTGCAGTGAAAAGGTGGTATAAATAAATAAAGATTACTCCTTACTACTACGGGTTCTATGCATTTGCGACTCTGCCCTTATTTTAAGTAGATCCTCAAGCTCATCTCTGGCTGAATCAAAAGTTTTTTGTCTATTTTCATTCATTCCCTCCCTTTATTGAGTCTCCCCTCCAATGATGTGATTTTCCCTTGTCTTCCTCTTTTAAGGTTAGATGCATATGATATGGTTGTGTTGCGTATGAACCCTGTTATTGCTGCCCACAGCATTCTTGCATCAATCAATCAATCAAGCCTTTATTATCTGCATCTGCAACGGAGACTATATTCTAGGCGAGAAATAGCTTCAGCGGTTCAATAAAGAATTCACAAAAATCTTTGTTGCTAAGTAGACTTGTATTGAATCTCCACCTTCCAGAAATCTGAGGCCCCTCTGAAATACTTACTGGGAGGTGAAGACACAATGGTCTGATAGAACGTTTGAATTAAATTCGCACTGGTGGATTTGTGAAAATGTCGATGCTGTGGCCCTAGTCAATTCTGGTATAGGTTTTATGTCGTTTTAAAATCAAAAACTATATTCTCTAGCTGTCGGGTTCATATTCCGATATAGATCAATCAAACAAAAGTCCTCTAATAGTCCTTGCAGAGCTGTAGTTGCAGGGGATTGGCTATGATTGCCATCACTTGTTTGTCGATCAATGGGTTTAACACTACGTTCACATCAGCTCCTATAATTATTTATGTTTAAGATTTGGTGCATAAATACTGATAAAGGCGATCTTCCTTCCGCTAATAGTTGCCTTTATATATGTTAATCAACCATCCTCACTTTCGAAACTTGCAGTAATAGATATAGGCAAATTTCTTTTAAGGAGTATCAGAATGCCACGGCTTCTTGAATTATAGCAGGCTGATGAAGCAGTGTAATAAACCCGGTTTGCCAAGTTCTTTTTTGTCTAAGGCAGCCATTCCCAAAACTCAGTAACACCGAGGCCCCCTTAAAAATCTGTCGGGTCTGTGTGGCCCCCCCAAAATAATAACCAAGAAGACAACATTAAGAATAGGCTCTTCTGGTTATTTTATTTTGGGGAAATAGCCTCTGCTACAAACATTGTAATACAAAAATGATTACAGTGGATTATTCAAGTCAAATAATGAACACAAATATTTTAATATTACAAACAAAACATTATAAATTTAACATTAAATAATTATATTATTTTTTTATTTTTTTTTATGACCTCCCGCGGCCCCCCTGCAGTACCCTCGCGGCCCACCAGGGGGCCGCGGACCCCACTTTGGGAGACACTGGTCTAAGGGGTTAAAATGGCTTTCTTGTATAATGCCACGTTTACATTATGCCCAGACACATAAATCTTTTAAGCTGCCCATTAAGACCATTTATATTCCAACTTGCTATAGTAATCAATGCCATATCAACCGAGCAATACAGGGTATAGTCAACCTTATAACCATGATATTAGACAGAGTATACTTGCTGCGAGACACCTGGGAACCCTTCAGCCGCGTTCCCCCTCCCCTCCCTCCCTCTATCTATCATACTCACACACATACACACCGCACACGCACAGGCAAACACACACACACCCACACAGGCAAAAAAATAATAAAATAACATAAAACCCAAAAAATAATTGACACCTGATCTAGAGAAAGTTGGCAAAGAGTTCACACCAAACTAACCCCCATCCTTCGTAGATGGTTAGTGCATTAATCCACCTCCAATATAGTCCATTATTCACAACTCCAGTGAAAATTAGTGTATGACTTCCAACAAGATCCAGCAGAGTTCATTTGTAGTCTTTGCAGTCTCAAGATATTTTTGACAGCCCTACAAAAAAAAGATTACTTCCATCTTGTGCACTAGGACTAAAACTCACACTGCTATTGTCACTTTTAACTTTTTATTGTACATAATGTATCTTAAACAAAAGAGACTATATTTTAACCTTTTAACATCTTGCACACTTTCTGTCTTTTTGCACACCCTGAGTGATTCTATCCATCTGTATATTTCTCCATTGTGAGATCAAGTTTATCTTATCTTACGCCCACTCCCCCTCGCGCCCCTTAGCTATGCCAGGATTAGCAGCTCTATTTGAAATATGGGTGTTTATTTTTTCCTGTAGGTATGGTCTTCCCTTACTATCCCCAGTTGGGTCGGTATAAGCTGAACTACCACCAGGCAGAGGACACATGCAAACAGCAGGATGCTATTCTGGCCTCTCACTCCCAGCTGCACAAGGTCAGTCCAAGTCTATACTGCAGGTGATGTGTTTAATAAATAATTATGTCCCCAACTGCAACTTTGTACCAGTGGCGGCTGGTGGAATTTTCTACTGGGGGGGCTATGAATATGATGACTAGATATATACCAGCAGTAAGTAAGTTTACACTGACTGTTGTGACTGAAGCCTCACACGAGAATTTTTGATAGGATGTGCCTATTCTTGTCAACCTCCTCATTGTGCTTTCTGATCCCTACCCTGTAGCTTTCATCCAGCTGGGATGAAATATTTATCTTCCCAAACATAGCTAATTTGAGGGCATTTTGCATGTGGATACCAGTCTGCTCATGCTTCTTTGCCTTTTCTAAAAAGTGCTTCAGATCAGTCATACCTGTCTTGATCCGTGCTGGGTCAGATCCTGATGTTTGAAACAAGAGGCATGGAAAGCAAAATAAAGCATTAGCCTCGCTACATGCTGCTAGCCAAAATTTGGCGCTGAACCAGGTCCTGGAAAAAGTACGAGTGTACCGTCTCCCCCTGTCGCTGGACTGCTGACTAATGGTAATATTTGGCTGATCAGGTCCAAGCTCTTTAACCTCAACCTTCTCCTGGTATGATCTTCTCTCAAACAGTATTGTTTTGAGTGATCTAACTGAATTATTCTTTTTCTCGTTCTCCATTTTGCGTCTCTTTACGTTCGTCTCAAACTCCCACAGCTTGACCTGTCAATCACTGTAAACGGACGTCACAGACAGTACAGGTCGCGGGCGATCCCGCCCCCTCAGGGCGCACTTCTCCTGCGCCCCCAAATCGTCTTATCTCTTGCATTGAAGAGGAGCTACTGCGCATGTACAACTTTTAACGAGAGTCCATAGACGGCTCAGGGCGCAATCTTTTGCGCCCTGAGGCGGAAATACGTCCTCAGTCCGACACAGACAACGCTGATGAGCTTAATCAATCTAACTCAGCATAAACTATAAAGTATTTCTTCCACATCTGAAATAAAACACACATAAATTTCGAAATATATTCGAAATAAACGTTTTATTCAAGGTAACATGGCAAGTTGTGAGTGGTGGGGCGGCGCCCTAGCGCCCTCTATTGGCCGGCCGCCACTGCTTTGTACTCATATTTGTTTTATTTATGTACTTGTCTTGTGCACACTGGGGACCTTTGCAAATGTATTCCAATGTGGTTTTACTGCAAATGGTGAATAAAATGAATCTGAATCTGTATTGTCTAGTTAAAAAACCATTATTTTCATGGAGAACAACAATGTGGTAAACAGTATCAGATCACATAAATTAAACAGCCTTGGGGTCACAGTAATCTTATCAATTTTTTTTTTAATTAAAACATATTTGAACTGTTATGATCCAGGGATATTGGGCTGAACTTGATTCAATGCTACGGTTTAAACCTTCATATAACTGTCTGGATGTGGTTTGTCATCAGCATCAGAGTGATTCCAAGGAAATAAAAAATGTTAAATGCAAAACTGAGGACGATTATAGCAACAAAAAAACGAGTTTGAAAACCGCTAAACATAGAATATCAGAAAGAAAAGAAAGTATTATGCCTTCTTTAAATTCACCCCCGGTCTCATCTATTCCTCAAAGACCTTGTGGTTTGTAATCAAATGCGTCACTAGTGATGAAGTGACCCTTTTACGTATTAAAAATGTCCAATGATTGAGCTCGTCCCACTGACCCAGATAGTGTGTCCTTGCTCAGGCGTGGCTGGACGGGCTGGACTGGTGTAACGCAGGCTGGCTGGAGGATGGCTCAGTGCAGTACCCCATCTCTCACCCCCGGGACCAGTGCGGACGCAAGGACACGCCGGCTGGAGTGAGGAACTACGGCTACAGACACAAGGAGGACGAACGCTACGATGCCTTCTGCTTCACCTCCAAGCTCAGTGGTGATGACCCTGATAATATGTTTGCAGGATTTTACTTGGAAATGTTTTTGTTGGGACAAAGAATATGTATTATGTATGAAAATATTAAGTTAGGTACCCCAGCTTTAAAAGCGTATGCAAAAGATTAGAGGCAAGAGACGACCCACAAATCAATCTTTAAAATAAACAAGAAACAACAATGACCTTGTATTTTCATCGTCCCCACTTTCATAGCACCGTACGAATATTAGTTAAACTTACATACAGTGTGTCAAGGGTCTCCAAACTGTAGCCCAGGAGCTGGTAACGCCATGTAGCCCCTCAAAGAACTGTTAAATGATCTAACTTTGTGCACTAATAAATTATAATATTGTTCAACCCCAATCAAGTTAACAATTGCATGAACTAGATTCAAACTAAATTTTAGCACATTCTGACCTTCCTGTATTAAAGGTACAGTATAATGGAGGATTTTTCAAAATTTTAGGAAAATACCGCCCTCTCCACCTTTTGAACAAAACTTTGACGAGCATATATCACCAAAATGTTTGACAATTGGGAGGACCAATAGTCTTGATGATCCACCCAGAAGTAGAAAATCCTCCTATATACACTTAAGTATTACTTTACGCACAGTAGCAATTTTTATCTATTTAATCAAATTTCAAAACGAATGCAACACTTGTTCACTGATCGTTACCAACTGTTTGCAAACGCTTTCATGTTTCAGATGCTACATTTACAGTCAGGTCCAAAAATGTTCATACATTTTGGGGTACTATTTTAATGATTTTGACTCACAATTTACTGGTCAATCATCCCCTGCCTCACCTGTGGTCACGGTTTGGACTTTAGACCAAAATACAATGTTATATGTTCTCTCACAACACAAACATTTTCCACGATTGGACGTTTCTGTGTTGTCTTTGATCTGAGCCTGGGACAGTAGATGTAAAGTCTGCTGCTGCTGTGAAGGGGCTGCTACAGGCCAATGTTCTGGTGCACATGGCTCTGTCTTTCATCCTTATCCTTTGATTTACATCATATTCCCACAGAGCCCACAGCACGGCCACCTCCGGGTTGGCAACTTTGTGAGTGAAGTCTAACCAAGCAACTCTTCATGTGGAGAATAAAACAGTTTGGTTTCTTTCGATGATATAAGAGCCATCTTTAAACGTTGTTACCGAAGAGCTTCATAACAGGTCAATAGAAAAATAAATGTGAATTATTTAGTCATAATTGATATGTTTGGGAGTAGAGATACGTATATTTGGCAGTTTGGCAGTGTGAACGAATAGTATTTATTTGTAAGACTGAGCTATTGTCACATCTTTAATGTGAAAATAGAAATCTCAAGGCAAAAACAAAACATGAAATATCCTGTATAATCCATAATTCGATGGTTAAATGTTAAAACAAGCAGAACAAGACAACTTTGGTGTTTTTATTCGCGCAGTTGAAACACCTTCCCCGTACGTGAAATACTTTAAGCCTAAAAATGGAACATTTCATGTAATCAATACATACATTTGGTAATTATTTTCAGCAAAATGTGTGTAAAAACACACATACACAAGATATGTGTAAATTTACCATTGTACTACGCAAGATGAGAAATAGGCAAATAATTTATACTGATATCTACCAGGACTCCCTTGAAAAAGAGGTTCTTAATCTCAATGGGTCTTTCCTGGTTAAATGAAGGTTAAACAAAAAAATAAAAATAAATTTCGGATTTGTTAAAAATAGACAGGAAGCCATTTTCTGACAATCTAACCGGTAGATGTCCAGTTTTCCTACGTGTGCTAGTATCACTGTTGTGAGCAGTTTTTGAGGTTGCAGGGGTGAGCTTTAGCGACCACTTACGTTCTGAAAGCCCTGTAGGAAAATATCAGATCACACCCAGCCTCAGACAAACGACAGCATGAAGCAGACTCAATAAACAGGCCTATTGCTGATGTGTTAATCTGACAAAGTCTAAATTCTCAGCCAAATGTACTTAATATACTGTCAGATAATTATGAGAAAACAAGTCATGGCAGCTCTTAAAATATGTGGTCTTATTATAGACACTGTATGATTATTCTACCATTCCTTGTTTAGTCCCACCCCTGTTCTAAGGCTGTTATCACTACAGCGTCTTGTCAGGCTAAATCATGAACTTTAGAAACCAGGTGATGACTGTGGCGACCCCAAAAAGTTAAAGCCCCCGATAGAAAGAAGTTGTTAATATCAAATTCAATTGAACTAGTGGAGGATACCTATTTCCTTAATGCCACCTGGCACAAATTCTCCCCCGAGGTGAGATGAAAGCAAAAATGGAAACGTTTTAAGAGTAATTTAGAGTCAGGGAGCTGTCTGCGGATATTCAATTTTGAGATGCCCAAGCAGTGAGATGACTTGATATTCCGAGCACATTTAGCAGCCCCGCAATGCCAGGCTAGAGAGATCTACCCTGGGGGCGAAGTCGATCTCTTGGGTTTTGCCTCTTTCTTCATAAAAATACGGCCTTTTCCTTCACCTCTTCAGATATTGTCTCAACAAACCCTCTCCCCACAGGCAAAGTGTATTTCCTGAAACGCTTCAAAAAGGTGAACTACGGCGAAGCAACCAAGGCGTGCGTGCGGGACGGCTCTGTCATCGCCAAAGTGGGACAGCTCTACGCGGCGTGGAAGTTTCAGCTTTTGGATCGGTGCGAGGCGGGATGGCTGAGCGACGGGAGTATTCGCTATCCCATCGTGAACCCCCGCAGCCGCTGTGGAGGGGACTGGCCCGGAGTGAGGCATCTGGGGTTTCCCGAGAAGAAATTTAAATTGTATGGAGTCTATTGTTTTAGGAAGAAGACAGAGGGGCTGACGAGTGCAACAACAAAGAGTCCAATGAAGAAGAACAGCTCTAGTTTGACCGCAAATTCGACTGTGGCAACTTAATAGACTGATGTGTTGAATGGATAAACACTCGTCACATTATACATGTGTTGGTACAATAAGGGTTTTGGAGTTGAAAAAGAGCAGCTCAATGACGGGACTTAATGATTTTTGCATTTTAGAACAATATATCAATTTTTCTTAAATGTGTGAATATATGATCCTCACGTGTGAGCGTTGATATAGCTAACCTATATCTGGGTTATATATAGGTTATAAACCATACCCTAGTCCATTTTAACACATCTCGCCAATGTGGCAAAGGGAACAAAGGGCAACTAATGTCTTCAAACAATAAAGTGAGTGTGCAGGACCAAAAAACGGGTTACCAGGGTTGAAGAAAATCCAGCTGGTCTGTTGCTGCAGACAATTCTTTTACCAAGCTGAGGCTGGTAACGTTTTAGAACTGGGCCCTTCGTCAGGCGTGTGGCTCAATTTTCTTCAACCCTTCAAACCTAATCAAATCAAATTATTTGTGTACAGCCCAGTATTACAACAGCAGATTCAAAATAAGAAAATTAAGTAAAATCAAAGATTTAAAACAGCCATTAGTCCTTGAAGCCAAACACACCAATGTTGACAGCAATTAAGTAAATGGATTCAAGTCCCCCCTCCTCCTTCTGCAAGGAAAGACAACTACAGAGAAAAGTGCAGATCCACTCCCATTGGGCGGACCTGTCAATGACCTGACATTGCTGATGACAATCATAACATCAGCATACATTCACATGTCTAGTTATTTTCTAGAAAAAAGGAGATTTTTTTTTGACAATTGAAGTTAACCAAGCAGACCACACTGTTCTAACCTCTTAGTGCAGACAAGGCTTAGGAGACACGGCTGTCACTGCTGTCATACTCTACAGTATCTTTGCACTTATGAAATCAACAGTGCTCAAAGTAGATGTAGACATTTACTGATTTGTGAGACGGCTGTGAGAAATTACAGCTGACGTCTTGATTAGGACGATTTTTCGTCTCCAGTCAGTCAATCACTCCGAGGAGTGCATCTGTCTGAGGGAGATTAAACAGTTTGATCATCAATCAACAACATATCAGCAATCTTATTTACCTGCATGCGGGCGCGAGAGCATATCAGATTTAACTACGTGGAAAAGGAACGGTCCCCTCCCCCAAGAAAATGAGTTAAAAGTTAGTAGTGTGCCAAAAGCAAGAGTTTAAAGACTGATGATGTATGATAAAATGTTGTGCACAAAAAAAAATAAACTCTAGAAACTCAAACTGCATTGGAAGTTTGAGTCCATTTGCTTTCTATTGCTTTCTGGGCCTCCCTCTAGACTAGGGGTGTTCAAACAAGGTTACCCCTCTTTAAACACAATGTCATCCAGCCAACTTCAGCTCGGCCAATACAGGCATGCTGTACCTTGTTGTAAAGCTCAGAACCTTTGTTTCTATATACATATTTTTGATTTTGTCACACAATGTTGTTAATGGGGCTAATGCAGCTGGTGAGATGGTCAATATTTATATATATTTATATATATACAATATACTGTATAAATATGTGTACAATATATATATTTATATAAAAATATATATGTATATTTTTTTCCTGTTCTCCTCAAAGCAGAGTGAGACTTGTGCAGAGCAAGTTTCAGAGTTGCTTGCCTTAATGCCTCGCTTAGTGAGTAAACTTCCTTTTAACATTATTAAACAAACTGCTGCTGCTGCGCTGTGATATTTGCACTTCATATTGAAAAACTTTAGTCTCTCTGATGCACTTTATGTAAGACTTAAGTGAGCATGTGTTGTTTGGCTGGATACGCAGAAGTTGCACAATAAAAAGCTTTTACCTCATGTGACCATAGACAGTACAAAATAATGATAATAAAATCTGATGCACTTTACTGCTCTGGCACTTTGAGTAGGGCGTTATTATTCAAAGAACAATGTCGACACATTGGATCTACGCTTTAAAAATGAAATAAAGTACACAGATTAAAACTATGGGCTTGTGTTCTACTTTTTGAAATGTCAATGTATGTAAATGAGGTTTAAAGTACTGCCTGGTAAAATAAACTACATTGCAGACGGCAAACTGTGATTTGGGCTGTGAAAGTTGGTGTCATTGCGAATGATTTTAAGAATGTGTAAGAGAGTATAAGTAAGGCCGACGAAAGTGACTTTATAAAAATCCATATCATATAAGATTTGAATGGAGTTGACAACAGCACACTGACCTTTCTCTTTGCTCCACCTCCCACTGTTGCTGCCGCTGAGAGAAGTCATCCTGTACGTGTCATTTCATGCATTTTAAATGACTATCGTGCATCATGTCTGCACTGCAGAAGTATTTCTATACAGTCTTCTTGAAATGAAACAATCCATCCCTCCTCGACAATCACTCTTCCACGACTGCCCGATTGTGGAATGAGGTTTGTCAGTGTCTTCAAAAGTGTATGATGACTTACAGCCCGGTTCTATGACTGTGACAAAATAGAAGTGGGGACGACACAACCACGGTTCATGGAAATTATAGATTTGATTTAGAAAAAAGATACATTAGGTAAAATCAGTTATATATTAGTGTTGTTATGTTCTGTAAGTGAGGAGTGGTTTGTGCCAATGATATTCAGTAAGATAACCTTTTGTGTACAAGAATGTTGAGTGCAAGTGTAACAATTAATGACAACCCTTGAACCACTTTTATTTGACCAAATATAGACTGCATAGATAGGTCCTATATCACTGTTTTTTATAAAACAATTAATACATTAAATTCATGAATAAAAGTGTTTTCTCCTGCCTGTGCTAAATCACATATGAGGAGTAAACGTTGGAATAATGCTGGAATATTTGCCATTTGACATTGAAGGTCTCATGTCCAGTGAACCAAGTACATTTTGCTCCTTGTGATAATAGCTCGAGCAGCAGGCATCACTTTTTGTTTTCAAAAGGTTGTAATGAGTATTAATTGCAGCTCCTTATGCTGCAGATGGTGCTGTCGAGAGGCCACACTTGAGCCCCTCACACCAGACTATATTCTCTCACAAGAAAAACAAATGCACTGGAAAAAGAACAGGGCACACTGAACCTTCCAAACCACCTCAGCGGTACAACGGCAGCACTGTGCCTGAAAATGAACTTATGTGCTACTGTACAATAATATCACCGTTACTTATGTCTCAGAGTGAGACAGGCCGTACTTTTAAGTTTGCTTTTGTTTACTTTTGCCTCTTTTCCACAGTATCAGTACGGTACAGTACATTACGCTTCGGCGCTGTTATTTTGCGTTCCCACTAGTGGATGGTATGGGGGATTTGCATGCTTTTCTGTACTGCCTCAGCCGTGGTTCCATCCATAGTACCGGTACCATGACGTGACGCCGGCCCACTGCCTTACACTGATTGGTCAACGAGTGTCGTCACTGGAAGCGACATCTGACCCTTTGGGAAAAACAACTCAACCACCATCTTTTAAACCGGCTGCTCTGCTCGGCATTACGTCCTCCTCACTCCAGAGAAATGGAATTGCACAGAAAGCCCCAAAAGTCCTGGTCCTGGTCGGTGGATGAGGTCCACACGTTCCTCTCTTCAGGCCAAAGAAAGAATTCAAAGGCAGCTCGAGGCTCAACATAGTTTTCAGGAGATGGCTCTGGATTTGTGACTAGTCTGTGGTAATCCTGGAAATAACTGGTTCTACGTCATGGTGCTACGTCCCTTAGGACTTCGCTAGTGGGATATCACTCGTGACCCCCAGGTCACACGCCAGAGAGATCAAAATAATTTGCTCCAATCACCAGCCACCCTCCTCTATAAAGGCCCCTGCACAAGGCCGCACCCCCTCTTTCACTCTGGCGCCGTTTGAGATCTACCACAGTACTTACTTCATTCTGAGATGTCTTCCTTGTTACGTCCGAGTTCCCTTCGCCCTCCGGCGTCGGACGTCGTCACTGGATCCAGACGGTGGAGGACTTCACCTCTGTGGGCGCCACCACTTGAGGGAGGAGGAGGATGCAACCCACGTTGTGCCCGCGGATGGACCCGTTCGTCCATTACGCGACACGTGAGTGGCCAAAGCCCCTAGCAGCCAAGAGGCCTGCTCTGGGGTACGACATGTACTGCAGCGTGCAGGACTGGTCCTGGACCGGTGATCGAGGATTCAGTCCGCATGGCCCTGCAGCCCTCCGCATCCGTGGGGCCCGGCACCAGACCTCTCCTTCCCTCCGAGCGGGACAGGATGTCTCGCCGATGCTGGATAGATATTATGCCAATGCGGCACAGGTCGTCGCATTGGCTAACAACATGGCATTCATCACGGGGGCCCTGGATAGGTCGCTCTCCTCTGGCCAGGCGCTCAGTGGAGACCTCCTGTCACAGGCAAGGACCACCTCGGCGGCGATCCTGCGCATGTGCCAGACGCTAGCCGTGGATGGTGGCCCGGACACCGAGGATTCAGTCCGCATGGCCCTGCAGCCCTCCGCATCCGTGTGGCCCGGCACCAAACCTCTCCTTCCCTCCGAGCGGGACAGGATGTCTTGGCGATGCTGGATAGATGTTATGCCAATGCGGCACAGGTCCTCGCATTGGCTAACAACATGGGATTCATCACGGGGGCCCTGGATAGGTCGCTCTCTTCTGGCCAGGCGCTCAGTGGAGACCTCCTGTCACAGGCGAGGACCACCTTGGCGGCGATTCTGCGCATGTGCCAGACGCTAGCTGTGGATGGTGGCCGCTCCATGGCTGCAGCCCAAGTCGGGGCCAGGCACCTTTGGCTTGGGCTGGCTAATATCAGGGAGGCGGAGAAGAGGCAGCTGCTGGACCTGCCCATCTCTCAAATGTCCCTCTTCGGCCCGGACATGCAGGCCCTGGTGGCGAGACTGGAGTCTGCAGCCAACGACTCGGCTAGGCTAGCCCCGCACCTAGCACCGAGGCGCGAGGCCCACCAACCATTACGGAGCCGGGACAAAGGCAGAGAGCGTTCGCCCGGGAGGCATCCTGATCCGTTTCCGCGC